ACCGGTTATCATATGTTGATAGGTAAGAGTCTCCATTTGAATCTGAAAAGAGTCTTACTAAATCCAGATGAAAATGATAGAAACAAGCGTCGGGAGTTTTGAACGAGCCTGAGGGGCATTCACTGTGCCTAATCACTTTAGATTTCTGGCAGCTTAAAAAGAAACGTGCCCACTCCTTCACGTCTTTATTCATACCGCACCAACAAAATTATTTTACGAAAAGCTAAATGGTCACTCGAACATCTGGATGAGGTTTGTGCAACGTATTGAAGACAGAGTGTCGATAATGTTTTGGCACGATTGAGTGATCCTCACCCGTGTATGTGTCACATGGTAAAGTTTCCTAACCCGTTCCCATTTGCTTGATGTACAGTTTTAGGGCTGTGATACACAACTCATACTGAAGGTCGGTGCCTTTTTTTCTAAACAGGGCGAGTTTAGGAATGTTGATTCCTGAGAAACTGTTCAAAGAAGCTCCTTGAGACAAGACCGCTGAAATGTGTTGTATATCTGAAGTAAATTGATATTGATATTAATATAAGCTTTATTCAACATTATATTTTTGGTACAATATTGAATTCTCAGCATAAAGTATTTCAACAAGTTTCCTTTACTTATATCTTGATCGATCCTGATGATAAATATTGAGTGATTGCCAGTTAGATGTTAGGAGTTTGATAATCGACATCTGAATAATGTTCATTCGTTTCAATGCATATTGCAAACCACCATGATGTCGCTGGTTGTACCTTTTGGAATCCGTTCAACGAAAGATTGTAAACTTTTCATAAACGCGCCTGAATAGATTGTGAGCTCAATAAACATAATAGTGTGTTAAAACAAACAAGAAAACAGATAACTTGACGAAATATCTAGATGGGAGGAACAGGTAGCTCAGATATTCAAGCAGGCCGCCGATAATTACTGAGAACTTATGTCCACTTGTCGAGACTCTCGAAATGATTGCTTGTTTGAAGACGAACTTAGAGAAAAGTTGAGAAGCTTATAATCGATAGACAGATTGAATTTTCCGGCCTTCCAAAGAATGTTTAAAGTGCTGCACTGCACAACAGATGATATGAAGTTCAATGTCAAAAGTTTCATACCTTAATTCTTTCATGTTATAACCAAGATTTTGCTCTCTTCCGTTATTGAAGCACGCATGTCGATCTAATGTAACTTACGAACCCAAATTAGCAATAGAACCAAACATCATTTTAGACACCAAAGTTAATTCGATTATGATTCAAGATAAATTCCGGAGGTACAAGCGATGGAGCAAGGTAAAGTCATATGTTCCAGAAGTTTTTTCGGTATTACACTACGAAGATGCTGAAAAAGAGGGGAAAAAGAGTGGGCAAGGAGCAGGACGGGCAGTATTCATGACTAGTTGAAATTTATTCATTTGTGACGGAACAATTCGTGCGTGACTACTTAGATTCATTCCCGTTTATTAGGTCGATTTTTAAGCTACTGTGTTTCATCATGGTAAATTAATCATGCCACAGTATGGCGTCGAATGAGTAAAGAATTGTACAAATGGATGCAGTTTATGAGGACTGAAAGTTTGAGTAATATGTGTATTTTAAAATTTAGTAAGGAAAATACAGCGCTCCAATACTAACCGGATTTTTGTCAGAATTATTATAACTTCTTTTCATTGTTAAAACTTTTGTAGAGCCAGGGACGGCCTCCTACTTAGCATAGTTGTCTGATGTTTCATTCAATAGGATTTCTTGGTAGGAAGTGAAACCAGTCTCAGGTTGCAGACATGAATCATTAAAATGCCTCTTAAATCCCCCCAGCTACGTGAAGACATCTCTGGACACATTCAGTTATGATTCCCCTAGCTAATGGCTTCATATCAGTGGGTAGCACAGTACTTACAATAGTACGCCTGTACACCTGAAAAGCTAACATACAATCGACACCTTCCAGAAGACGAAGCTTTCTTGGATTCTCCGCACTCTTTTTGCACTCAGACTAGTACATTACGTTAAGCCACATCTGACTCATAGAATGTCAGGCAGCCTAAACTTAAGGTCTTGTCTTAGTGACGGTAGGACCCGTTGGTTGTATAGACCATATATCTCCTGAGGCATGCAACTGGTTTGTTCAGCTTTATCCAATTCGAGTGGTATAACGGAATTGAACTGAAGGAATGTTTTACTATGCTTGTGTTGATTATATGGGCTCTTTTAAACTCAATATTCTACGTGGGCTTTTCCTAGATAGGCTTCGGCAGTTTTGAAAACTCCCTATTCCTTAAGAATGAAGTAGCTTCAATTCAGGTTTTTGAGCTATCACAGAATCCGCCCAAAATTGGGTCTTGTCAAACATGTGTGGAAGATTTCTGTTCATATCTTTACCCGTTCGGGTACCCAGTACTCCATGGTCAAATCGAAATTCAAAAACATCGTGTATGATGGCTCACTCAATCCCAAGGGCCCGGTAAGCGGACCCTAGATTAGAAGACGTATTAACTTGTAAGAGGTAATTTCCTACAGATTCAATTCTAAACTATTCCCTAGACTGTCAAACACAGAGTCATAGCTTAGCAAAATTCAGAACATGTGAGCTATTTGGCTTGATAAACTTCATATATTTCCATAATGTAGATTAATACAGTTAAGATACAAAATAAACAATTAATACAGTCTACTAAACAGGAAAAAAAAGACATAACATACCGAAAAGTAACTAGAACACAAGAAAAAATAGTCAACAAAACTAATATCGTTCATAATAAACATAAAATTATGATCGGCAAATAAGCGAAGCATGATCATACAAGGTCAAAGAAGGTCAATGTGGTGATGAGCGTCTCATGTTATCATTAGTGGATTCTTTATCGATCACACTTTAAATACAGAGATCAAAACAACTGTCTGTAAGCTGGTATAAAAGTCGGAATCTTCAATATTAACGTCAAGACAGTTCTACTGTACGGAGCTGAAACTTGAAGGACCAATACAACTATCATCAAAAAAGTAAACAGATTTATCAGTAATTGATTACACAATATACTCCATATCCGTTGACCGGACACTATCACTGATAATTTACTATGGTAGAGAACAAACTAACTTTCAGCTGAAGAGAAAGTTGAAAACGTTACTGGAAGTGGGTTGGAAACATATTGCGGAAATCATCAAATGACGTTTCAAAGGGAACCCTAACTTGGAGTCCTGAAAGGAAAGGGAAAACAAGATGGCTGAGAAACACACGGCGTCGATAATTGGAGGCAGACATCAAAAGGACGAATAGCGACTGCAAACAACTGTAAATAATTGCCCAGGACAGAGTTGGTTAGATAATTGTGATCACCAGAAGTATTTGAATTATTATACAAACTAGGGATTCCAGAAATAACGCAATTTAACTAAGAATAACTGGATGAACACGAACCAGTGTATTGTATTTGTAATTCGAAGTCAGACAGTCATCAAGTTCAAAGTAATCATTAGTTCATTCAAACACCACAAGAATTCTGATAGGCGGCCTCCTCTCGTCTACGAGGAGTAACAGGGGTATGTAAGTAGCTTATGATTCTAAGCAACGGATAAGTGTTCCAAGCGAAACTAGGTTCACTTTGTTCAAGCTGTATATTGCAACCATAGTAAAGGATAAACTTGATCTATGTAACTGTAGGGACTTAAGTAGTTAGATAAAACCTACATCTGTAAGCGATCTTTGTTTAAATTCAAAAGTGTCAATATTTCATTCATGCATTCTTTTTTGAAAACATATACGAAGCAAAGTATGAGGAATACATTTATGATAAAATTAGATAAAGTAATATGATACCGGTTTCTTAGCAAATCGTTTCTTAGTCTATATACTCATTAGAACCTAAGGAAATTGTATCAAATAAGTGTGTCATTGTTATCACGCAAATTACATTGACATTAACTGGAATAATTAATCAGAAATATGCATTCCCATCCGTGTTTAAATACGTACACGTATGCTGTTGACCTTTGTAAATTATTTAGTTGGTTGTAAATTTATTTAGTCAAAGAGTCGCGATTCAATCTCTTCCTTTTACCGGTTTTTCTGATATACGCTTGGTATGGAAAACTAGTTTGCTTGAAATAAGTCAGTCAAAATATAACCTCATGTTTGGTATTTGTATATCCTATGCTAGAAATAAACCCATTTATAAATCAGAATTTAGCCTTAAAAAATATACGAAATTAATCAGGATTAGTTATAGTTGGATTTAGAAGTACCCTTCATACAACCTAGCGTTAAAGAGAGATTATTTAGAAAATAAGTGATTCTGAATGGATTGTTGAAAATGATACGTGATAGTTTCAAAAGACAAAGAATTTTTAACAGAATAAGGGAAAAATACGGTCATCAGGATATGTATTAGGAAAATATCCGTCTGATAATTTAACCTTATCAAAAGGTGAAATAGATAAATTCATCCTTATGTATACTTTATCTTAAAAATACTAAACTACAATTTTAGCAACGTTGATTTGACCGGCAACAAGCTTACTTTCTTATAATCTAGTTTGATAGCAAGCAACAAAACAAGAACTTATTCCTATCATACACAAAACTGAAATGATTCATTAATTGATCACCTTTCAATTCTCTAAGTATATAAACGTCAAAACTTCATTGATTTAATTTATTAAAAATTCAGTCCTACACCAATGAAGATCCTGTCTTGATCTACAAATATTGATGTATTTACCATAAACTCAGAGGCTAGTAAAATAAAACAATCAATTAACAATGCATATTTGACATAAACTTTATGAATAATCCGTAAATAGTTTGTGTAAATATCAATTAAGTAATACATTATTCGAGTAAAACATATTCATATGATAATAAGATAATATAATACTGTGTTAAAAAGTCAATATAATTTTTACGGTGAACATGAAAAACATTGAGACTATATAAAAATAAATTCGGAAAATTAAAAAGAAAAAAATAAAAATAAAACTAGATTATTTTTTTGATTAAAATGAAGCTATGAGTTAATTGTTTTGTGAATGATGCTGTTTTAAAAGACTTTTAGCAATAGATGATATTGGATCAGTTGGTCTTTTATCCACAACATCAAACATGGCCTTCTTCATCATTTCAGCTGTACAAAATTTAGAAAGAAAAAGAACAACAACAGTTAATTATGTATTTTGAAATACTTTTAAGAGAGGATAGTATTTAGATAAGCATACACAAACACTTTAAGATCTATTCATTTGTGAATAAAAGCATAACCAAGAATTAAATGCATTATTATTATTATTATTATTATTATTAATGGCTTTACTCAATATAATATTTTCCGTATGATAAAGAGTTCTTAACATAACCTTTGATTGAAGATGATGATGACAATGATATTAAACAAGTAAAAGTCGATGAAACTGGACAGCTATTTAGTCCTAGGTTTAATAATTCAATACTGTGTAATACAACTCCTTACGGAATGAAACTCAGAATCATCAGGTCTTGTGATGAGTACGGTAGATTTTAACTAATCAGTTCGAAATTATTAGCTCCAGCTTTATTATTGATATTCCATAAAAAATTAATCTTGGGCTAAATCAACAAGGAAGAAAATATTACTCAAACTAATAGATATAAATAATCGAGGAACTATTTCGAATTTGTTTCTGATGCAGTGGGAAAATTTTACAAGAGGAACAGGGATCAAGAGAGTTAGAAAGAATGAAATCAAAAATGAGAAAGATAATAACAACAATAGAGAAATGAGCTTGTAGAGAGAAAGCATGTGAACAACACAAGAGATCGAGGAATAATATGGTGAAGATAGAACATAAATGTACTCCATCAACTTAGATCAATTTTTAGTGATGCTACCTAGACTCCAACCGTTACTGATGATTATCTAATGCATTACAATAAAAAAATGATCACCTCAAACAAGGCACACACTAACATTTAAAGCAATAATTGTATGAAAGATTAAGTATCTGTCACTGAATTGTCGAACAAATCCTTTAATTTAATTAATAATCCTTTAGATAGGGAGTCAATTATAACTGTACATTCTTCATAGTTACGATTTATGTATGCTTTAATAAATGTAACAAATCCAAATATCGAGAACCTTTAAATACATCATTTCGCACTACGAAACCATAATCTTCCAAATAGTTGAATTAAATATACATTTATAAAGCTTATCAAAAGCATCTAGGAAGTGTGGTTTATATTCGGAAAATGTTTTGAACAATCTGACCACATATACTTGTCAAGGCATCTTTATAATACTAAGGAAGATTATATAAATGCAAAGTGATAATTTAAAACATAAAAGAAGGGTTATTGAAAGAACAGAAAGTTATTATATCTCTATTATTAAGGCAGAATAGCAGAGAACATTCATAGTGAGAACATTATCTAGTAATCAGGGCTACAAAGACCTAAGAATAAGGACCTGACACTTTCTGATAAAGGTATAAAAACTGTTTGAGGTTTCTTAGTTCAATGATATGTCTTATTCAAAAATGAAGAATATTTGAGCGAACAATTGTTTTCAATAACTTCATCATCAGGCTCACAGTTATAAGTCCATAATTATAATGGTTTACAAAGGCCAAAATATGGTATATACTAATGAACTTGACAATGTTATTATAAGCAAAAATGGATAGTGGCTAGCAGTGGAATCCAGGACGCGCGTTTCGTCCTATTTGGGACTAGTCAGCTGGATGTGCCTGCATCTCAGAGTTGATGTTCACTCCGGGACTCGAACCCAGTACCGTCCGCTTCAAACGCCATCGCGTTATCCACTTAGCTACTGAGTCCTGATAGCCACTTGCTTGTGCAATGGGGTGAAGTTTAATTCACTTGATATTGTTTTATTTGAATCTTCCCATTGATGTTTAGGACTGAAATTGTTCAGTCTCTTATTGGCATATGTGCATACTGTGCGTATGCCTCGATATCGCCTTAATTGACAAGCTGACGAGTCCCAAATAGGACGAAACGCGCGTCCTGGATTCCACTGCTAGCCACTATCCATTTTTGCTTATAATAACATTGTCAAGTTCATTAGTATATACCATATTTTGGCCTTTGTAAACCATTATAATTATGGACTTATAACTGTGAGCCTGATGATGAAGTTATTGAAAACAATTGTTCGCTCAAATATTCTTCATTTTTGAATATTCTATGGGGATATGTCTTATTATTTAAACAGTGCTTACAGTGCACACATCATACAACATTAAACTACCAGTAGTGTTTCTATTAAAAGATTAACACAGGAACTTACTTAAACCCGATTCTTCAAAATAATCCAACATTTTCATCTTCTTCTCATCTTCAGTGAGTTTATCAAGTGAACCATCTATCCAGTCTACCTCTTCATCAATTTTTTCTATTTATAAAACGATAAACATCACAAGAAAGATCAATAAGAAGGATCATGTAGTAAAATCCATCATTTGGTATTTGAGGTATGGAGGCTAAATGAAGATGTTGTGAGAAAATAACAGGTTTTTGATTCCGGTAAATAATAACAGTTGATACCCACTGTACAAGAGATGGGCATCATTATTTTTCAACTCTGTTATTAAGTGCAGTGGATAATGCATTATGAGTTACGGCGTCAACATACTCAACCACTTGGATACAGACATACTGAACATGCCAAAAATAGGATATGAAGTACCATGGAATCTATTAGTAGTCCTCATATATTTAGTTTAAAGTATAAGAATAAGGGTAGATAAACTAGAACAGAGAATATTAGTTCACAAAGGATTATTATGTTTTTCAATCGAGTTACAGAATAAATTTTCTAATCAGGATTATGTTTAGACGGATTATGATTAAATAAATATAAGAAAAGATCTTATGACTTTACTAAAGAATTCAAACTTAGCGTAACTTTAAATAAACATGGTCTTTATTTAAGCGTTATTTTTGTGTTGTCTTGTTATCTTCATATTAGATGAAGTGTTTAATATACTCAATAGAAATTTAAACTAAACGTATATTTAATCTCAGTCACAGTGTATATTTAAACTTCCATTCTTTTAATCCCAAATCCAGTTTGTCTTGAAATTTCTATGTGTAATGCAGATAATCAGGAAACAATGTCTTTATGATATTAATACCATGATGTGACAGTCGGCTTTTTGACACGACAACTTAATAATTCATGCTACCATTTATACTGCGAGTATGAAATCGTCATTGATTATGAGAACAACGTTGCGAACAAATGGTTATTACTTTCACTATGGCTAGATATATAGATTATGAAACGTATTTTTGTTTGGTAAACTGTGATTAATATCTTTTAACTAGACAAATATTATAATAGTGAAATTCATTCGGAGATCATTGTATATGATATATATATATATATATATATATATATATATATATATATATATATATATATATATATATATATATATATATATATATATATATATATATATATAGCCAAAACGCTAATATCTAGTCATTATAATTGTAGTCAATAAGTAATGTACAAGAAGGATGTGAAATGACTAAGTGATGGGTTTTGTCGGGATTCATCACAAACCAATGTTAAGTGTAGAATTAACGTAAAACCAGAGAGCATCGGATACCAATCATGTTATTTTAAAAATCGACTGAAGTTGAAATTTCAAACTATCGAATTAAATACCACTCGGTAACTTGGAGGTATCATACTTAATGTGGAACCTAAATGTTTCACGTTAGTACTATTGAAGAATCCAAACTAGAATAAAATACCTACTTGGTTCCAGATAGTTTCCAATACTTTTCCAAATGATGTCATCTTAAGAAGCTAGAAATCATCTTCAAAAGAAATATTGTACAGAACCTCAATTTCGCTTACCATATATTTGGTCTTCCGTGTTCACAAACTCCAATAGCCCTAAATTACGTTCTCCATCTTGATGTAGACCCAAATCAAATCCTCTAAGGTATTCATTTGGTGTGACTGCAATTAACGTTTTCGTATCTCTAGATAACCATAGCATATATGGCTCATTTTCAAACATGTATTCCGTTACAAGATTCAACTGAATATCACTTATTACGCCAGTTGATAAAGACGACAGTGGTGATGATACTTCTGTTTGTGCTGATGATATTTCATAAGCAACCAAACATCTAGCTGGTGATGCACCATAATCAGTTTCTGAATCATCGGAATCGTAACTCTCAGAAGATGATTCGCCAGCTAGATCTAAATGAATTTTCTGTTCAGGATGATGTCTTTTGCCAATCAATAACTTTCCATCTGACGCTAACACAATCGACTGGATAAATATATTCTCTTCATTTGATGATTTACTGACAATATGATTTCCAAGTTGTTTTTCTGTTACCAGTTCTCCAACGGCTTGTTCAGTATTCAAAATGCTACTTGTCTCATCATTATCACTGACGTTTTCAGTCGACAAATTGAAATGACCAGAATTCATTTTCTGTAAAAATTTATCAATTTCACTAGTTTCTGATCCATACTTTCGATTTCCAGTTACAATATTATACATGTTTAATCGATAATTAATAGCCGTCATACCATCTGAGAATAATATTAAATTCGGACCATAATCAAGTAGAATTGTATGTAATATCTGTGGGTAATTATCGACATTCTTATCCATACATCCATCTTCATGTGGATACCCAAGGTCTACAATCACAATAACACCTAACCAAACAACTGTTCTCCCATCACACCGAGTAACAGGATATAATGTTTTATGTGATTCATTCAAACCAATAATTATATGGTTAGGATAACTCGGTCGGTATGTTAATAAATTCAAAGAAATTATCTGTAAATCACGTTTATCTAATAAAATTTTACCAGCTGTTTTGGTTAACTGGTAAGCTTGAATTAAACTGATCTCTCGAGGTTGTTCACCCCATAAACTTTTAAATTCGTACATGTTATTGTGCATATCGACTGAAGATATTAAAACTTTAACTAATAATGAAGGTGTTTCGTTATCGAACGATGGTTTTATCAATGTTAGCATTCCATATTTAGATTGAATTAAACCAAAACTACTAATAAGACCGTTAGATGTAGGCACATAAAGATTAGGTAGATAATCCTTCATATGAATAGGATCTAGATAAGTGTAACTATCTAACAGCTGATTTTGATTAAATATTGTTAACGTATTAATTTTTGTAGCCGTTTTATGAAGAAAAACTGAAATATCTTGAGTATAACTAAGGCATTTATCACCAGTACCCATACTCTTGATATCAGTTATTGTAGTGGCCCAGTCTACAAGTTGTTGTGTTGTTAAAAAAGTATCTATTGATTTTGCATTGACTTCATTATCAGACCAGGAATAGATTGGATTAGTAGAATCTTCATCTAGATCATATAATATCAAGTTGTCCACATTATTTCGTTCTTCTTTTCTTTGAGTGACTAGAACAAGCGTTGATAAACCATCTTCATAAACATATTCGATAGACATGTTAGCTGACCAATAAACCAACGGACCACCAGTTGCGATTTCTTCAATATTCAAATTTGTATTCTGATTATCGTCTGCATAAAAAAGTTGACTACCCAATACGGCTAATTGTTTATCTGGTTTACGCAAAGATTTGACATTGAATATTTTACACATGATAAACATTGCTTGGTCAGGTGATTCACTGTATTGTGGTGTGGTTGTATCTGGAAAATGACATATCACAAGTACAGAACCAGTCATTGATGAATTCGTTGTTCCTTTTATTGAGGTTGTTGTGGTCATTCCAAGATCTGTGTCCAGACTAGGTACTGACAAACCTGAAAGAATGCCTTCTGCACAACCATGTGCTATAATTTTTAATATATGCCCAGTCATAGTGCTCCAAACTAGTAAAAAACATTCTCTTCCAGTGGTGAACAAAAGATCATTCTCATAACTAAATATAGCTGAAACACCTTTCCCGAATGAGAATGTGTAACTGAAATGTAAGAAAACCCTAGTTTATATAAGTGGGATAAAGTAATGAATCTTCTAATAAAAAGAAACGTAAAAAAGTAACAATTAGTGGTGAAATCACTTTGAATTTCTTGTTTAATTACACACTACGATCATCGCGAGCTGAACTTGATCAGTAGATTAGAATATGAGGAAACTTACTTTAGGTTAAACAAAACACAGAAGCAGAAGACATTGTTATACTAGACAATGAAAAATATAAGGAAACGCTAGTCGAATTTTAACGCCTTGTAATCATGTTGTTTGGAGATAAATGTCAGTAATTCGGAGTAATTTACTAGTTTTTAATTCCATTGACTGAAAATTCAACAAAAGTGCTTGAATCTAAACATCCTACGAGTTTATAAATTTAGCAACCAACGACGATGATTTTGTATTGCGTTTACTGAAATAACAGTATTACGTAATAAGGTCCTGGGAAAATTATTTTGATAAAATTAATAGATATGCGTTATCAACTGCAATTGAACTTTCAAGTTTAATAAACAGTACAATACCTATGGTTTAAGCTTTAACTCAAATCGCCAAGTGCAAAGGTCTCTTATGTTAGGTTAAAGATAGAGAAACAACCTTAAAAATAATACGTTTTTTGCCTAAGAGAGGAGTTTACTGTGACCTAGCTAATAAGAAAATTTTTGCAATCCCCATCTGATTTTAAAATATTAAAAACTCCCATCATGTAAATTAGAACATAACTGGAAACAATACTGTTCTCTTTTCATCAATTGTTCTAATTTGTACTATCATCATTAGGATAATAGGAAATTAAACATCTAATTATTTAAATCAATCAAAAACTCGGCGTTTTGTCTCATACATAAAAACGATGGAAGAATACGGTAACTATGACAAATACAGCACCAGAATTAAGAAATTCCTAACCAAACAAGCATTCAAACTGTCCTTAGTCTGGGTCACCTGACCTAGACAGATCATTCATTTGCACATTAGTGTAAAAGCCTGTTGACCTCATCATTCAAAAGTACATAGTATGAAATTAAAATGAATATAGGTTTCTGGCACGTGGTTAAAAGTTATCCAAGGTCATCGATAAAAGTCGAGGTTATTACCTTTATTTCTGACCCTCTATCCTATGTACTGATCATCAAACCTTGACCTCCATCCTACTTTAATCAATACTTAATGACTCCCTGAAAATATCGTCACCTGTCAATACTCTAAATTTTAGATTATAAGAAAACATAAATTGAAAAATTTCAATCATTGTAGTTGATTATATTCTTATTTTAATGTCTAATTTATAAATTTCATTTCACAACAATTATAGACAAAAGAAAATAGGTCAGGATAGATTTGAACACGAAGAGTTCAAGCATAATAAAATAAGAAATATACTTTTCTGCTGCAGTATTTGAACTTTTGCTACCATAAATATTCCAGAATACTATTTTACATATGATAGATTATAACAATATACTATTCACTCTCTTTACACGAATCTTTGCTGTACTGTTTAGATACATTAAATTAGTAAAGTTGACTCTGTGTGAAAATTATTTTGTTTTCTTTATTACCTCATCAACTCTCTGAATGAGGTAATATTTCAATTTCAACAATGTTAAAGTATTAAATAAATAAGAATTTTCGTCTAAATTTGATCGAATAGTTTCACAGTATTTGGGCGCCAAGTTGATGTTAGACATTAAAGAGGAAGAATGTATTTATAAAATCTCAGCGAATGAATTTGAAGTAAATCCAACGTTTCGCCTAGTAATCTGGTCCAAGCTTTTTCAAGGAAATATAATCAAACATAGGAATGCTTTAATTCTTACAAAGAAAAACTGACAGCCGAAGCCCTACACATATGGGCAAATCCAAAACAGCATTAATAGGAGCGATGGAATACAATTATATTTCCCATAGCAACTAATAATTAATAAGTAAACCTGAACTTCTTATTTCCTTTTATCTGTCTCGTACCATCTGAATAACAGAAATTACATTCAACGGTTCTAATCAGTTGTCTTATCTGAATATGTTAAACAATTCACTGGAATATTAAAATAACACAAATACATTCTTCCTTTTTGAAATCATTCCTTTATCTTGTTTATTTATCTTCATTTTATGCATGCCGTGACATTTTTGATTCATATCATTTATGAAAATTATATTTTCTTAAAGTACACCGACCACAGAGAACAACATATAGTGAATGAAATTTCTTCTTACTTACATATATACGAAATAGGTTATCAAAACACTTTTTCACACCACATATCTTACATACTAATGCATATACCTACTTTAAACATTGTCAAACAGGGTGCACGTTGATTGGATGTTTTGTTCAGTATACAGTAAACCAGAGAACCATGTACCTATTTATATTCGATAATTTTGATGTTGGATTATATTTCCTTGAGAAGGCTTGGACCAGATTGCCAAGTAAAACGTTGGATTTACCTTAAATTCTTTCTCTGAGATTTTACGAATACTCGTAAGCTACCACACATGCCTTAGAAATATAGCTCGCACCTGCTGAGACCACCGGGTAAGTAATAGTGAAGTTAGACGCAGGGTATTAGGGAATGGTGGTAAATCAGTCAGTGAGGTTGTAAACCTCCATCGACTGAGATGGTTGGGTCACGTGTTATGTATGCTTAAACACCTTTTACCACGACGCCCAATGCTTACTAGTGTTGGAGACGGATTGTATAAAGTTAGGGGCGGCCAAACCAAAACGTAACATCAGTGCTTGAAGTCACTAACTTCTGGTCTGAGCCATGTTGGTAGATTCAGACTACTTGGTTGGGGCTCGCGTGACTATCGTAACCAGTGATTGGAGACTCTGTGACATGGCTCAGAATCTATCACAATGACGTAGGTATATACACTCTCTATCTTCCGTTAAACTGTGAGATTAAAATTGCTTGATATTTTTCTTTCTACGAACTAATTATTTCTTCCTGTACTATCTCCTTATATGCAATCTTTCTTTTATATATTACCACCATTGACTTAACCACTCCTATGAATCCGGTGTTCATCTTGCTATGCTAATGCGGTATGGTAACTTGAACTTTTGCATATATGTGCCTGGACCTACGTTGCAGCTGACTGACTAACTAACTGACAAATACATTCTTCCTCTTTAATCGAATTAATTATTAATTATTTATTAATCATCAAAATTAATTAAATAAAATAATAATTACTTACTTTAACATTTCTTTTGTTAAATTAACTTCATCATTATTTAAATTATCTTGTTGAACATTAAATGGTAATTGTAAATTAATACAAGTTTCATATCTTTGATCCCATATTATACCAAAATCTTCAGCAGTTTTACGACGTGTATTAAATAAATATGCAACTAATTGATTAGAATAACTTAAATGTGTTGAACAATTAAGAAATCGATTAGCTTGAACTATATTTAAACTAATTGTATTCTTTAAATAACTTTCATATATAATAAGTCCATGAAAATTTATACCATTTATATCATTTAAAAAAGATATATTCCTTTCATTTAAATTATCATTTTTTATTTGTTTAATTTCATAAAATTTTAATTCACATTCATGATGAGTTGTAAAACAAAAACATATAATAATATCTGATTGTAATTTAATTGTACTATGAATAGTTAAATCATTTGAAATAGATACAAATACTACACTATGTTCTTTTATATCAATTAAAAATGCACCAAAATCAGTTAAAGTAAAACTAATAATATTTAATAAATTTGAATGATAAAATGAATGACTTTCAATTGTATAACCATTAATAATCATTTGTTTTTTTGGTAAATAACCCAAATGAAAAGTTGTATCAATTAATGATCCAATCCATTGATTAGTTAATAATATAAGTGATGGCATACTAAATATATCAGACCATTGTTCATCTAATGTAGATAAAGTTGTTACACGACCAGAGAAGTAATCAATTTTTGCAACTGATATTAAACGATTATCTTTATATTTTATATCTTCAGAATGACGGTTAGTATTATTAAGTTCTGGTGATTTATTAACTGGTAGTGCACATATTGATATAGGATCTGGAGCACCATGTGAAGCTAATAAAAATTTCATTGAAAATAAATTGACTTCAGGTAGACTTATGGTTTTTACTAAGTTACCATCTAAATCATACCAACTAACTGATTTACCATTTAAAGCGACTGCTAAAATTAAATTATTAGACATTAAACGTCCGATACCTAGTCCAATATCAAAGGTTGTATGTAATAAACCACTGCCTGAGTCAAAACATGTTGTACGTGGTAGTAAAGCGCATTGTTTGCAACCAAGATATCTTGATTGAACTAAGAGTTTTTCTAATAAATCTTTGTAGATATTTACAGGTTTTTCTGTTTCAGTCACTCGACGTCTATGAATTAATTCACGTTTTGGATTTAACATGGATACACTACGACGGGATCCTGAAGAGATATATGTTGATAAACGCCTGCGCGTACGACGTAAATATGATGGTGGTTGATAAATTTTTGTTAGACGTCCTAAAATGTCAATGGGTAAACTAGATGGTTGATAGTCTAAACTTAGAGCAGCAATACGTATACAATTGTATACTTTGAAAGCTTCTGGTGGAGGAGGTCTTAAATAAGCCGGTGACTGCATATCGGTATTATAAATTGCAGAAAGGTTACTAGCATTGGTTGAGGTATCAGACGCAGGTAGTAGTGATGAATGATTGGTGAATAGTGCAGAATTCAATCCACCTAGCTTGGCCCGAATATCATTTGTAGACAATCGACCTAGTTGAGTGCATGATGAAAGAAGTTGTTCTATTTGTAATATACGATATGCTTCTATTGGAAGTTGTAGATCCATGAGTAATTGAGACCTATTTTTAAGAAAAATGCAAATGTATGACAATTTATTTAATAACAAAAAAATTAATTACAATTTATTGAAACCCATAAAACCTTATTTTCTAGAATGAATATAAGAAAAATTGACTGTAATAATCGTTAAATAGTTCTTTTTCAATGTTAAACAATTAAATTACACAGACACGAGTAATAGGACTTGAAGGTTGTGTGTTCATTTCATGGCAAGATTGTCTGCAGGCACAACTGGTGAGTTTCAAACTGAAACGGGACAACTTTCTAATACTTTCTTTCCTCAATGATTACTCAGTTTGTATCATTTCCTGACGAAAATCAATTTAAACCTAAACTAACCCCTATAAAACCCATTAATTATAAAATGGACTAGTTCTTACCTAGAGGTACCACGTAATTTGTTGTATAAAAATTCATAATTAAACATTATCTCTGAGTAAAATTCTTCAAATCGACCTGAATGACATAAATGCCATGGTAGCTCATTTAACTTTCTTAAATTTAAGAGCAGTTTCTTCTTGCCACTTATTTGAGATTCCTCGAATACATATGGTTGTGGTGGCACCATTCTGTCTTCGTTACTAGATGGTGGAAGTTTCTGAAATGAAAGAAATCATCCAAAAAAACAAATTATGTAATATAACAATAGTAGCCCTTCATTCTCCACCAAATTAAATTATGCCTTAGCAATTTAAAGTTTAAAATCTAAATTAACAATTTCTTGATAATGGTATTTATTGAATATTGAGTAGTCATTTAAGAGTGAAGTAGAATATCCGTTGAAAAACTCAACCTGCAGCTAAGTGATTATGGCTTCATAGGTCGCTTCACCTGTTTTAGTTTTTTTGAACTAAGTAATATTATTAAAAATATAGCTATAAACAGTATACGTGGACTATTCACTTGATAAATAATTTACACAATTGTTCTTTTACTCGTGGAGATTGAGTAAGATAATTCTTTTCATACAACTCTAACGTATTAAATCTTACTAGATCATAAAAATCTCTTTCCACATAAACAAGTTATCCTTATTTAATTTACTAATGTAATACAATTTGTTTTAGAATTCAACCATTCATTTTCTCTTGAATAAAGTATGAAAACGGTTTTTAGTGTACAAGAATATTGATTGAAAAATAGATCAGAAGTAACGAGCACGAAACAATCGTACATTTATTATGGGGGAATTCTCTAATAGCATTCACTTAAGTAGCTTCAATTCAAGGGATAAGAAAATCGAAGGTAGTGGGGAAAATAAACAGATGTCTGTTAATGCAACTAGATAACTCAGGAGTCCTCTTTATTTTATATAACTGTCAAGAGTAGTAATTGAAGATAGGTGACATAAAGTGTTTACATTTATTCGATTATGTGTCCTTAGACTTTGATCGAGTGTCAGAACTCCTGGATATCGTTAGAAATTATAAGGTGGGTATGTTGAATAATTACATGAGGTTATGGATTCGATACAAAGAATAAAGGTTCGTTGCTAAGTTGAAGACTTACTTTATTGCCTTCTTTTATTATCTTCTGTTTACGTTTTTTGAATTCTAACAGGCATCAATCTGGGGAGGGGTTAAATGAGTAAGCTGCCACTCTGGGCACTTCAAAAACATAAGTATTTTGTCGAATTAAGCGAGCATTCTTCACAAAAATGGTAAATTATTATCGTCTCTTCGGACTTCTAATTTAATAAATAAATGCTACAGGTTACTATCTAAATAATCATTCATACTGAACGAGAAATTTTGATGAGTTTCCTAAGATCAAACAGTGTTTTTTATCATGAGTATTAAAAACATTTAACAAACACCTCCCGAAATTACTGTTTTACCAAATATCTAAAGATTTACGGAGACATGCCAGTCAAAAATAATGGGGAATAATAACAAGTGCTTTATTTGTTACCAAATGTTTGATTAAAGTAGAGAATTCTTCGCACCAATATACAATGCCGAAACTAAACTCTTATCCATGTAACTTGTGAATATTCAAAAAAATATATAAAAAGTTCCTAGACAGCTTTTAGCAGGTGCTCATATCCATCCACAAGTATATATGATCAGTCTTGGTCCCATGAAATCTCTTTTCATCGCGCAATATGTTTTATGAGCGAATAATGTTATTTCTCGAAAGGACAGAGAAGAAGGATAATATATCAAATACCATGGAGGTTTTTTGAATTTCTTAATGATTATATTTTCTGCAGGTTCTAAAAAACTTATGAAAGCTCATAAGTAAACGCGGTTGTTACACATAATTAATTAATTAAACCACATAACAGGAATATTCATGGCAGTAAATACATGATTGGAAAACATGTGGGCCAGAAGTATGAGCAAACTACTAGGAAACTGTTGACATATGGTCGTGTTTTTCAGGTCTTATCAGCAAAACAGTAAAAAAATTATATAAGCAGACAGCCTTCGAAAATTCCAAGACAACCTGTTGGGACCAGCAATCTGAAACTACACATTTAATTATTTGAACCTTCAGTAAAATAGTAAAGAAAATCCAAATTGACATTGATTTTTATCACTCAGTGTATTTACTAAAACAATTGAACTGCGTATAATATTTCACTGCAGTACAGTTATCTAAATAACTGTGGTCGAGTAGTTCAAATGTTCTACACATTTAGAACTTATATACTCATAGAGATTACATATATTTTTAAACATTATTAAGATATACACCCATGGATAAATAACTCAAAAACTTACCAATTTAGCTGCAAGATACTTTGGATAATAAAATGTCTTTTTCACTCCTGCCCATTTACCCAAAAAGTAGTCTGCAATGTTTGAATGGATTTTTCGTCTATGATTAATGTCAGACAGATAACAGTCTTGTGCTGCTTCAATAAACTGACGGTGATACCTAAATGAGAAATAACATATATTTCATAAATAATTGTATTTAATTAAATAAAATTAAAAATTCCAAGTATATATTTCAGTAATGGTAAATGTGGTTTAACTAACTAGTCCACCATACAATAGAATCAACTGATATAAAAATAAACAATGTTTCCGTGTGCTTTTGTTTAAATTGATAACACAAATACATCACTATTCAGAGTTGCTCAGACAACCCAAATGTCAATACTAAAACTATCTAGTTAGTTTGTTGAAAAGAAACTATGTAGAAAGTTTATCAAAGTGACTTGAATCAAAGTGATTTTGGACTGACATTTTAATTTACATGTATTCACTCTTTGAACAGTAAGCAAATTACTGGGTCGCATTTACCGAAATTATTAATCAGTATTTCCAAAAAAATAGTAGTAGAACCCCAAGATACACTTTTGTTGATTCATATGATAGAAATTCGATGTATTTTAATAAGGAAAGTCCGACTTCGTTCACTGATAGATTTCAACATAAGGTGAATTCAACCTGGTACTGTGAGTTTTAAATGATATAGTGAAGTATCTTTTGGTCTATGGAAGCCGACAGATGAACTGAGCCGTTTAGGTAGGTAGAGATTATCTAGTTGGGGTTTGCATGATTATCTTAACCAGTGGTTGGAAATTTTGCATGACAGCTAAAAATCGACCGCAATGGTACAGATACATCCACTCTTCGTCTTCTAATAAACCCTGAGTCCAAAAGTCCTTTTTGATATTTTTCTGCTCCCTGTACCGAGTCTTTTTTTATCGGTACTGATACTATTCCTACCTCTGCTGCTCTGGGATTCGGCTTGATAATTTCATCTTCCTTTGGTGATGTCATGTACCAACTTGAACCGATGCACGTGTGTCAAGTTCTAAGTCACATAACTAACTAATAAAATCCTTTAAGCTATAAAGGACTAAAAAGATTGACAATGGGCATTATGAAGTGATCGATAATCTCAAAATATCCCCATCGTTAACTTTTTACCGTTTTTTTTCATTGAACATTTAAAATAAATGATCGAAAGCATTCTGAACTTAATAAGCATTGTTTAAAGTGAATAATTCATTAATATAACAAAGATATTAGAAGATAATCTTATTACTGCATCCAGTGACTGTATTTTTTTTTATTCATCACTCTTTCATATCAGTTTAAAGCGTAAATATTATCACTAGTATAAGCCTTGATATTATTACCATAACTATTAACCAACATTATTAGTATTACTTTGTTATGATTTAAACTTAAGAACACTATACATTAATTTTTAATTTTTTCTAGTTAATTGTGTAGAAATATTACTGTTTGAGTAGGAAGAGCCATATTATTACAGTAAGTATAGAATAAGCTTAAAGAAAACTAAATTAGAAAGTTGAGGAACGAGGATTAAAATTTTGGGTCTTAATAGTAAACATATCCAGAGTAAAATAATTTTATCTTCATTGATGTGTACTACTTATTTAATACCATAAAAAAAAAACAATCAACTTCTGTCTATGTGGCGGGGTCTGAAGAGATTCCATTAAAATTTAAAAATAGTTTATATCATTAACTGTCATTAGTTAGGAAACTATTGAAAACCAGTTAACATTCGACAACTATTTCTACATAGCTTGACACTCACCAATACGCACTTCCAAACATACATGGGGTTGAACTGAAGAGCATTAAGTTTGAAAATAAATACCGAATAGCTACACGACTGATTTGAAATCCATAGTCCGTTTCTTTTTAAACTTAAAATAGTTGTAATATGAAAAAGTCCTTGTTGAATATCACTGATAAGAAATTGTTTCACTCATGACATGCTTGCTTCCACAGGTCCCAACATCTCACTAGAACTTTTAAAAACTCATAACGAGGAATAAAATTAGTTTGATTTTGTGATACCAAATCCCTTTCTGTTGGCAAACTCAAAGAGTCACAAACTACATCGTGGCATTTGATAGCTTGTTGGTATTCACGTAGACAAAGAGGAGGATAGTTACTTTATGTTTCTCGTTACTAGAGTTTATTTTGCAAGCGACTTTCAGCTCTTTCCTTTTATTATTTCATCCTATGGTTTGGATATGACTGAATGAAGAGATTTTGCTGATGCATACGCCACGTCTATTCCGAGAGACCACAATATTGATGTAAATTTCTGTGTATTATTCATGCATGCTAAGGGGATCTGTTTGTTGGTTTCTACACATGATGTCGTTTTCACAATGAGTCATGATGTTATTGATCCCATTGGTGTTCCTTTCATCAGCTAATGTGTTTTAGTAGTGAAGTGAAGATATGTTCATAGGTAAAAATTGATGAGTTCTAGTAAACCTTGACCTAAAAGCATTGTGTTTTTTGAGAGATTTATATCGCTGGAAAAAAGTGGAGGTAAAGCGGTCGCTACTAACTTTGGTTCAGTCGAAGTGAATAAGATTGTAATATCGATGGACACTACGACTCAGCTGTTGTTGATTTGAAGGTTATTAATATTGTCCAAGAATCATATGGGAGATTTGATGGAATGGTCGGATGGATTCACTAGACACCCCGATGTAACGAACAACATACATTGTGTCAGGATTTCATGGTCTACAGAGATAAGTTGAGTGTCTTAGTATAAATGTCTAGGTCATTTTCAAATGATAGACGATATATATCTTCTTTCAAGAATTAATGTTAGGATAGGCGAAGATTTCACGTGTCAGTATAAGCCTATGATTGTTTGGTATTTCTCTTATTTCCTTTTCCGTTTAACTGAGGATTAAAAAACAGGTTCAAAACTGCCAAGTGTACGAAGTTAACATTCAAACAACCAACTATTTATGGTGTTTTCACTTGCATACAGGGATAATTTTTCTTGAACAAAGGTATAAATAATCGCCTCATGCATTCAATTAGTTAAGGTTCTCGATGGAGTAAATTATGGCATCTCAAGACATGATTGTCAAGTACTTATAGGTATATAAAGCATACTATTTAAATGTTAGCATACACTTGAGCACAAAGGCTTTTTAAATCCTTTACACCAATAAAAATCTTTTAAATATACGTTGATACTGGAAATTTTTTTACAAACTAAATTACTGAAAGATGATTAAAAAATAACAATGGTGAACCCACCAAAATAAAACTACTATTCCATCAGCCTCACGTTCAGCCAAATTTGATCCCAATGCGTTTCGAAGTCTTGTCCAAACAAATGGAGGGGCTCGGACTTGTGGTGGCAAATGATGTTCAAAAACATCTCGAAGAACTTCATCGTCGAGAGATAACAAATCCACAATTTCTGCCTCACTTAAACCCCGACGTGAGGCTGTGATATAGGATATTGCGTGAGAAGTCTGTGTGATAAGGTTACACAATGTGTAAAGTCAAAACACAAGAAACAAAGAAATTCGTAAACAGCATTAAATATTCCTAAGAATTCAGGTAGTGTGATAAGAAGACGAAGATTATCAGAACTATGTAGTTCTGATCATCTTTGTCTTCTTATCATACTATCCGAATTTTCAAAAGGGACTAATTACTTTTTATTCCTAAGAAGCTTAATGAAAAAATGGGTGCTTGATGAACACTATTTAATTTAGCCTTTACGAAAAATGAGTAGTCATAAACTTTTCAAGACAACAAATAAGGTGTTCATATGATAACTAGAATACTAGATATTACTTTCTTAATCATACTTCTTTATTAATATCTTCGAATGCCGTCTATAATTTAAGAATGAAAAATGGAGTCCATTATCAATGAACATATCTAACTTTTAAGATATGACTAAAGTTACAATTAGATCAATCTACCCTCCTTTAGAGTTTGTCCTTATCTGGCTTATTAGGATATATGTCCATAATTTCTAGGTAGACATCAGACCAATAATGGTTCCAGCATCCGGGAAACTACACTAGGGAAGCTAGTTTTCTATGTCTCTATCCCATTTGGAATTTTGTGTAACCTTATAAACAGACATGATAAAATTAAAACCAGTCGGGCGGTATTATGTTAGACTCTTATTTTCTAATCAATACACCAGTCAGTATTGCAAATATGCTACTCTTGCTTTGACAATCTGCGCGAACTTTGTCCTTGGTATCAATTATGTTTTTAATTTCTATACAAAGGCGCTCATGAACAAATGTATGCTAATTGTATGTTCATGTCATCACTCATAATGTTAATCAGTTTACTGCGTATCAGATCACTTATATGTTAGTAGTATTCAAACTTGTTTATATGAATTTGAAAAATACATCGTTCAGTCATATATCAGATCACGATTAAAATTAATTTAAATGAATCAAATACTTTGATGTGGGAGTATGTTTTTTTTTGAATATCTTGTGCGTTGTAGAGGGTATTAACATAACTATATGTAACATAACCATATTGTGATACTATTGTTTAAATTACCTACGAAATAGTTTAATACAATCTTAACAAATTATCATTAGTACGTTTCGTCCTATTTGGAACTCGTCAGCTAGATGTGCCTGCATCTCAGGTTTGATGCTCACTATGGGACTCAACTCCAGTACCATTCGCTTCAAATGCCATAGCGTTATCCACCTAGCTACTGAGTCCTGATAGCCACTTGCATAGTATGCACATATGCCAATAAGAGACTGGTCAATTGAAGTTCTAAACATCAATGGGAAGATTCAAGTAAACAATATCAAGTGAATTTAACAAATTATGTTTTATTGCAAGTCAACAATAAATGATGTAAGAACAACTAATAATATAATATTATTTTGATATTATGAAGAAAGGTATGAAATTATTTGAAATCGATTCATCTTACCAATAATTTACCATGTGTATGTTCTAACGACTCGAAGAATTGTACAATCGCTCCTCTAACAGTTAAAGCTAGTTCTAAATTAGGCCATTGTTTAACTGCTAATTCAGCTTCTTCTTCTGTACATGGTGTATTCGCATTAATTTGATCATCTGTATTTTTTAAAATATAATCAGGTTGATGCCATGATTTCCATTGACTTACCTAAAATAAACAAATATGTTTTAGTAATAAAGGAAGTTTGTTGGAATTAATCGATTTATAGCTTGACCTAACTTTCATAAATGGGAAACTAATTAGTTTTGTCCATGAACATTTAATAGAATCTAATCACCCAACTAATTTAATTATTGACTTTAAGATTGTTTATGTAATTCATTTAAATCTACCAAGAATTTTACATATTCAGCACCTTAAAACAATAGAAGCTCTTGCTATCCACGAACTAAAATCTGGAATTTGTGTACAAAAGAAGTAGGTCTTATATTTGTCTCTATCTTGGCCCTATCTTTTTATTATTATTTTCATTGCTTCGATTTTGTATTTGAAAATGTCTACCCTCTCTGATTATTCCTTATATTCCCATGATTTTGCTCACAGTTCCTGGAGAAGTTACACAACCGTCTATTGTTATTATTTACACTATACGATCGAACATTAAAATCATTTTATTACATCATATTTGTTTGTGATTCATATTTGATAAACAATTCGTTGAAAAAAGATCTTTTCACAGAATTTCGTATTTTCAGATATATGCTTTTCTATAAATTCACTTTGTATTATTTACCTGTAACTTCCCATTTGTTTTATACTCGAGGTCATCATATAATGGTTGATGTTTTGTTCAAAATTTGTAATATGATAGTTAGTAAATAACACGATGATAGAACAGATCTACTTCATGAATTTTACTAAATGAAGTAAATTCAATAATTATTTTTACTTTGTAAAATTAACTCCAGTTCCTTTCAGATTAGAATATACAAAGTAAACAGTTAACACTATAATTAATCAATAAAACAGATCACCACAGAATGTTGAACAACAGAATTTTATGAAATCTTACAATAATTCTGTGTTATTTTTATGAAGTATGAACAATTAATCCTTTATGAAGTTGATGAATTTCAACAACCGATAACACTTCCCTCAAATCAGTTTAAAACTTTATGATGGATTTAACTTCCGATTTAGTTTCTTTCAATAAAAATCAACTTGAAATTGGTCCGTTTTACATTAAGTTTGACTAACCAGACAATATTTTTCCAAGTCCTTATATATTTATAAAAATAATTGCATCTTAATAGAAATATATATATATATATATATATATATATATATATATATATATATATATTAAAACACAAGTTAACAAGGTTTAACTTACTACGCGTTCTACAAGAACAATAAATAATGTTAAATGACAATGTGATAGTGCTCTTTTAACTAACTTCCATTGAAATGGTTGCAAACATCTTCCATTAGAAGCTAATCTTGTTTTTAATAATTGTTCACACATACTATCATCAAGTACTTCAACTTCAATGAAATTCGGATAAGGTAAAGAATCTGGAACATTGTTTTCTAAATCATTTGAATTTTGTAGATGTATGGGTAAAGAAGATGAAGGATTATGAGACAGAAAATTTGATCGAAAATTATCTAATATTCCTCCAATATCTGGTAATGTTGAAATGATTAATTTAACATATCTAGGCAAAGGAACTCGTATCCAACCAAGAAAATATGCACCATCCGAAGGCTCAAGTTGATCAATGGCATCAAAAAAAATTAATACATGTCTTTGCATATTTGAAAGTTGAATTAATAGATCGTAAAATGTATTAAGAATAGACTGAAAAATAGAGCATTATACAATATGCATTCATCGATAGTTTTACAGTAGTTGTTTAAATGATAAATTTTTTAACAAGAAGTAAGCTATCACGAAAAAAACAGTATGGTTTCATACCTTCCAAGTAAATATAACGAAAAAACTACTGTTTTAACAAAGCTGTCTTCTTAAGAAATCTTTGATGACATCTACTTAGTCATATTTCATACACATAGTTCCCTTTATCTTAAGGAGAGCAAGAACAAAGATTGGTGCAGAATAATATGAATTCATCTTATTTCGTTAGATTCTTATCAGCTGCTCACAACCTAAAATATTTGAAAATCAACGTTACTACAGATATTGACATTCATGGACATAATCTATCAATAATGAAGTTAAATCAGGTATAAACAGAAGCTTGCCCTCTAATGTATAAGTATGTCGATATCTGTAATAACGTTGATTTTCAAATATTTTAGGTTGTAAGTATGTGATAAGAACCTAACGAAATAAAATAAATTCATATTATTCTGCACCAATTTTCGTTCTTACTTAGTCATGGTTGTGCTCCATTTATATATATATATATATATATATATATATATATATATATATATATATATACCCCATACTTTTCATTTAAATCTGTTTTGTGTGAAACATTTAATAAATATAATTCTAACACTTAATCATAGCATCAAAAAGTGCCGTTAACTGTTGGCGTTTTAGTAAGTATACACCTCAAGATATATTACTGTGTTCCTCTTGACTGATAAAACCGTTTAGCAAGGATTGTTTCGTCAAGCAAATCTTAATAAGTTTTGTATTGTCATCTGGAATACGATTATATAAGAAAATTAATGATCTATTGGTGAATTTAAGATTGAAACACATGTGATCTAATAAGATGAACATTTACCCATTAGAAATATATGAATTAATGAGTTTATGAGCTATTTGATCTCCCATTCCCTTTCAGTGTTTGAATTAAGCTAGTTTTTATTTGTCATCTTGTTTGTTCTAATGATCTCGTGTGAACTGTGAATTCCCGACAACAACACTACTTTGATAGATTCATAATAATTACATTGTTATATTCGGAACAACAGATTATATCTTCCTACCTGAAAATCATCTTGTGATCGAATAACTTCCGGATCAATAAATGTAAATGCTTCTGAATTACTCATACTTCCAATACTATTAATATTTGCAACAAGTTGTCTGCAAGTATATTTTAATGTTTGACGTAATGTTGAGGTACCTGGACTTGTCCCTAAAAAACGTATTATTACTATGACTGAATCAATAGGATTAAATAATATAGGATTATTTGGTACAAGATTTGAATTTAATTCTTTTTCTTCCACGTTTGTTTTGTTATTTTTGGCATGTTTTGATCGAATACGGAACTGATTAAAGCTGATAGTATGCCTTATGGAATTACTGATTTCATTTATCCAATCTCTTGCTGTTACTGCAAGTTTAGCCATTACAGATGTTTTCCCACTACCGGACTGACCATATATTACAAAAGGATCTGAAATATGGAAAGGTGAAAGGATTAAAAATTGAATAAATATCAATATTATTGTAATGTGGTGTTGTTTTTGCACTAACAGAAACACTTACTAACTCACAGTCAATTTAAGACTAATTACTTTTGAAAGCTTAACTGGTCGTTTACTAAGATTAGGAATATACAGTCCATAATAAATTAAGCTGGAGGTTATTTTTTCTAAAAACTAATCACATAGAATATTACAGTGGGCTGCAAAAACAGACCTAAATGCAAGAGGTTGAATAGTAGTATCCATCTATGTAGACATTGTTTATTTCTATAAAATAGATTACAGAATCTCGGATTTGAATTACGAATATATGTAATTGTTACGACTCTCATTTATTGAAGCAGTACTGACCTCTTTCTACTTATTAAAACTAAAAGTACATAAATATTCCTTAGCTGTTGATATGCATATAGTTAACACTAAATGCATAACTCATAAATCAATCATAGACTCGAGTAATTGACTTAGAGCAATACTTTATGGCTGGTGAAAATTTTAACTATCAGAACCCTCAAATCGTATCATGTGAAGTAGTCGGCAATTCCGTGGCTGGATTTAGGTACTGAAAACAAATTGTGATTTATCTTTCTAGACAACAACAGCAGATATTTTGACAAAAGTCACTGAAGTTTGTGTTGATGCTGTTCACAAGGACATCAAACCTTCACAACTTTGTCATATATCTCAGATAATACGACACTTTTAAAATCCTCATCCTGTGCTAAAAATGTCCTGCATCAGATAACGAGGAAAACTTTTCAACACTTGCAAGTTTTCTGTTTCAGTTTTCCAGTTTTTAGCATTTCAGTAACTCGTAAATCTTTTGCAATAATGGGTGAACATACACAATTAGCATTCATAAACATTCAGCTCAAAGCATTAACGTTGATTGCATTTATAAAGTAAGTAGATTAGAAGTTTGAACAGACCGCCTTAACAACTCTACAATTAGACACTGTGGAAGTGCAACAGCTGAGGTGGCTGTAAATATTTTATGGATCTAGAATAATTATTCATCTGCTTAGTGTAATGTAAGGTAAAATGTTAAGATAATTAAGTACCGATGAGAAATAACAGTCAAGAGCTTTCATTTATGCAAAAGATAGATGGACGACACGTTTATCATCTTTGAAGAAATTATTAACCGCAACGTCTTCCTTGATAAAGACAGTAATTTTCATCTTTTGATTAAATTTACACCCAAAATAGAGGTAAATTCAAGATGTTACTTCCTTAAAGTCCAATTAAAAAGAACGCCAGATGGTTCACTATAAAGATCCATATGCAGAAAATCAACATAGAATGGTTAGTAGCTGATTTTTCAAAGCTGGGGTCCACTAAGCAGAAAGAGATATCCAATTCACTTGTTATCCTCGAGGGACCAAAGAATATGCTCTAAAGACACGATAAACAATCAACTATTGCAACTCAGTCAAATACCCATCGTAAATTTCTATCCGTTCAGGATTACTGAAAGAAACTTGAAACCAAAACTATAACCTGAAAGACCACCTATGGTTCAAAAGATAACTGTCCTCATGAACATCAAGTTTAAAAGGGATACTGAAGCAGAAATTCTGAAATATTTGAGAAGACTATTTTATGCCTCTTAACTGTATATTACCCCCTCCACCCGGCCTATCATTAATAGATGTGTCGAAGATAAAAGCCCGCTTTCAGCCAATTCAGTGCCAGTTACATTGACGCCACAAAGCAAACACTTTCTAAATACATCTCACTACATTACTTTAGATAGCCTTTAAAAGAGGAAAACAAAACAGTTGGCACCTCAATAAAGGAACATTTAAACTCTGGGTATATTGCCTCACAGGAATCTTCCATCAAAATCATTTATAAAGTCAAACGAGTATAATAAGACGAACTCTAAGTCAAAAACTTATGCACAGTTGAAGCTATAGCGATTCACCATTTCAAGTATGAACTCTGAGTGTGAAGCAATAAGTGTAATCTCTAATCATTGCGTGACTCTAACACCGCTTCGAGCATAGTTTTTGTTTTTTCGTCACGAATTCACCGATTTCAAACCTAAAATATACTAAGAAAATGTATATTACTTGCTTAAAACTTTCTAGATGGTAGGAATCAGTGACTGAATAAATGAAGTTACATTTCCTAAAGTTAAAAAATGGGGAATATATTTTGGTGTAAATGTTGATAAACAGTTTGAGATTCATTTATTGACTGATCCTTTCCAGTATTAAATTATATATTGGGTTTTTGAATGACGCCAATAGTGTTAATAAAATCTGCAGTCGTCAAATGAGTATTTGCACTAAATATTATGATTAAAATATACTGATTATTATAATGACCTCTCTTAAAAGTAAATGATCACATAAAAGTGGGTTAAATACCACTACATTGTAAGTCTAATCTCGAACTTATTTGTAGGGGAAAATTTTTAATTAAAACATCATGGTGCAATACTATATCAGTTCTATTTAAACATCCCCATATATAAACATTTAGACCGATTTTAGGCTAAATAAAATGATGGCATAATACAAATATACCTTTACCATACCTGAAGAATCGCCCTGAATATATCGTTTTACGACTTCTAATACATCACTACGACCATGAAATTCTTGAACAAATTCATTACAATGGTTTAAATGTTGCAAAACCTCTACATACAAGTCATCATTTTCAAAATTTGACATTTCTGAAACTGCTTTATCAATGAGTGAAATTGTTTTACTCTCAAAATCCATACCAAATTTTCGTAGATATAACGTGCCTGAAATAGAAATACAACACATATCACTAATAACATTAGGAAGCGAACTCTTGTAATTATTTTTTGCATATTTAAAGGATTCTGAAAATCTTAAAGAGACTTTCATTACATTTAAAGCTCCAAAATATTTAAACGAGAACATGAAGTGTCAAATACCAGAATGAATCAGTTTTGTTAGTGTTCTCTCGTTTTCAGTGGTTATTTTACTAGATTTGGTTCTTTATGAAAAGTATCATTAAAAATGACCAACTTTTTCTTAGAATTGTAAAGTATGGTGGGATGAAACGAAACTAAGTACACAGACAGAAAGCATAGTCGATAAAATTTTCTTCATAGAATCTAATTCTAACCATTCTAGAGAAACGTTTAAGAAAGAAAATTATGAACTTGATATAAGGAACAATGACTAACTGGTGGGTAACTTATGCAAATGCGGTTAATGAACACTTTAGAGAATACTATTTTTACTGAGACAAAAATAAGTAACAAGCAGTATGCAGCATAATAAATAATTGATTTATAATTGGAATAGATAAAACAAACATCTCTAGTGTGAAATAAATCGTAATATAGGTTTATTTAAGTCAGTAGTTGTAAAATATGCTAAGTACTGTATTCTAGCTGGAGGATTCTATGGTGAGGAAGTTACGCAGTTTTGTATTGCTATATATATAACATATTAAGAAGAGATCACTTTATTTTCTTAATACTTTGATCAAAATTCTAAAACTATTGGAATGTATTATAGCCAGCATTGATATTCATTTCTCCTATTTTTATTTTGTTGTGCTTGTTTCTTAGTCCTAAAATAAGTCTTTCCATACCGCTCAGAATAAGGATTAAAACCCCTAGAGTTTTTCGCTACACTATGATCATATCTTGAAACCCAGTATATTAACTCGTAATGCTCATACAGATGTAAAAAACTATAAAATAGTCATGTTGGAATATCGAACGAATATTCAGTATTTGTTTCCTTCGATCACTTTTTTGATTATTAGTCGTGTAATTTTGGTTCAAAATGACACTGATTATTGAATAAACTATCCATGTAATGTCAGATATTAGTTAAGTGTTTCGTATTACATATTATAATAGTATTCTAACCTCAAACAGAACATATGAAATACACCTCACACTTAAAAACGTGAAATAAAAATGTGTGCTTTTTCCAAGTAGTATATGAACATCATAAGTTTCTGAGTACGTATCAAACCAATGTAGTGTAGACTACCATACAATTTGAATCAAATAAATCTTTGGTAAAGTAATAGTTTTTTTAAAAAAACTTTTTCACTATGCTTTTTGAAGTTATTTCCACTGTTTTTGGAATAATCACGTATCCCATTATCAAATATCTTCACCTAGTCAGCCTATTACCCTATCTGGGTATTAAAAGAAAAACGTGAGTCGATCAACGGCTCAGTTTTTGGAACATTATGTCAATTAGGTTCATAATGTTCAAGCAAAGTCACCTTTCAAAATCACTAGATGGTCAAACAAGACGTTTCATTCAGGATACAAATAAAAATCTTCATTATTTTGATGATTAACTATTCCTCGATTCAAGCTTGAATTCTGTGCATATAAACATTAAATTTAAACTGTTAACTTAACTCTGTTAGTTTTTCACGCCTAATAGTCGGTTGTAATTACTAGCTTTTAATTTCTTATAATTGTTAACTTGTCACTATTGCCTTCAAGTTTTCTTTCCTTTTTCATATTTGTCAAGTGAACACTTAACTTTTCTACTTCACACCTGTAAACTAAAATCATTTTGCTAGATTTCACTGATATTGAAGTCATTGATCAACTTCCTTTGAAACTTGCAAATTTTGTTTTTTGAATCATCTTTATTTTTCATTTGTTATCTATTAACAATATACCGGACGTGTTATAACATAAAACTTCATTCTATCCCACCACTTATTTTAACATAAAGTTGTAATTCTCATAAGAAGGTGTACAGAAATTAAAGCAGTAAATGATGAACCAAAGGAATGATATGCTAATCTTTTAACAAACTAACGTTCTAAACCATCGTTTTCAATCGCTGACCATGGTATTTCATAATTGCGGATATTGTTCTCTTTTAAAACAGAAGCTAAAGTGATATTTCTTAGATCATTTATCTGTTCAAAACGTGTTTCGTCTAACGTCCCATTGTGATTCATGTCTAGAAATCTATCAAAAGAAAGTAAATAAAATGTCGGATAGTAGTATTTTATGAAGGTTATCATCAAACTAATGTGGTACTCTAAAATTACAAAACTGAAAAATGGTCTACATTAAATCAGTGGACTATCTGTAGATGGATCTCTTCAGGCTTAAGCGAATGTTTATTCTCTTTTCAAGTATGTTTTTACATTCCACTACTGATATGAAGCATTCCCTTTAAACAAAAAACACACATATTCCTCAGATATTTGATTGCTTTTAAACTAATGTTCAGGTTGTGAGTATAATATTCTTTCAACTTATTGAAGTTATTGATAATGTTGAGCATCTTCATCGACTGAGATTTATGTTAAATAGGTCCAGTTACTGTTTATCTCGATTTGATAGACAGACTGATTCATAAATAAGCTGAAAGAATGTAAATATTGCCTATATACAGATACAGCATTAGCGTATTAATACACCGATTGTTAGTCTAAGTTGATTAGGTAAATTAAGGCTTCTTAATTTGAGTCAGATACATGACCATAGTCTGTAGTAACATGACTCAAAATCAGTATCATTGGAGCATATGAATTTATTTCGTATCTTAAAGATACTAATATTATCTACTTTTTCCTGTCTGATTCTGCTTTCGTGGTTTAACCACTTTTTTTCTATGTTTGGTTTTAAACTATTATCGTCATTGTTATGTCCTCCTATATTAATTTTTGTTAATTTTCTCTTGTTTAACCAATATAAGTTTTAAAAACTCCAACTGATATATACTTATGACACATTCCACACTGTTCAAATCTGTTTTATTTATTTTTAGCAGGTAGCCAGAAATTGCAGAATTAACTAAATGGTGAGTAAGAATAAATATTTCTGGACGACAGAGAATTACATTTACAGCCCATAAGTAGTTTGCTAAAGCTAAAAATGAGGACCATCAAATTTTAAGTCATTGGTCGACTAATGTATTACTCATCATAAGACCAGAAAATTCGCCGCCTGATAAAGTTACCGATCTAAACTATTGCAGGCGTTTTGCAGATACAAAACAGCTGTTGAGTGCTATATGAATTTGAATAAATATTTAGTTCATATTATGTCATGATAAAAGCTATCTTAGAAAAGTATTTTTACATCTAAAAAGTTATAGTTACTTGTTTGCTTGTCTACTTTGCAAAACTTTATCAATTTCTTTGATAGTCCTTGTAAATGCTGCGCATTTTCGCTTATCTGAATCTTCTGCATTAAGTATACCCAGTATTATTTCATGCTCGGTAACTGAATAACGAAAAGCAAAGCAAATAGTTTTACATGCAATTACACAAGTAACTAGATATTAAAACTTAATAAATAACATGTGTTAAAAACTACTACGATTGGATTCGTTAGATAATCGCATTAGCTGACTGAAGAACATAGGTGACATAGATAAACAAAGAGAACGTTTTTATTTTGCACTTTTTCGATAACTTTCTTGGTCATTTCCATATTTCCAAATGTTTGACCACATATAAGCCAAATAAACGAGCAAACAAATGAAAGAAAAAGATTCTAACCATACTAATAAAATATTTGAAGTATGACTGAGTATAATTGAGATTTTCTTTTGAATTTCATAGGACTGCATAATTTGATTCAGCAGTGGTTGTACATATGTGCACTCAACAGGCAACATTTCAATAGTTTACGTCATAAATTTGAAAATTCTTCCTAATAAGCATGCCATATCTTGTTTAGCTTTTTGTTTTCAAGTTATAAGAACCAGTACAGCTAAGAGAAAGAAAAACTTCAATGTATTTACAACCATGCTGAAAGCGATCACTTATCAATGAAGTTGGAAAGCGAATAATCACTTATATGTTTCGTAAAAGTGGCATGTTTTGTGAAATAAAAGTCCTCACAAATCTGCGATGTATGTAGTAAGTTCATTCTCAAAGGTTAAATTAAAAGGGGATGCGAAACATAAAAATGCAAAATTTTAACACTTTCAATCTAAGGATAGTTCCTAGAAGCTGAAAATCCATTTATTAATCGCAGATATCTAAACTCCACCAGATTTCTTCCCAGTAAGACCAACTTTAACTTAAAAGACGCATTTATTGTTGTTTTAACTTGCCATCACGGAACATACTATTAGAATAAGCCTCACAACAAGAGTTTTGGTTTTGCATCTCTGTAAAAAATGAACATTCAAGATTTTAACAGTTTATTCAATGCATTTTAAACTGATTAAAACCTGATCAAGTGCCACCAGAAAAGGACAAAAATTTATCACAAAAAATAAGTTTATCGAGTTTCCACATTAATGTACTAAAAGTTCGGTCTTCACCAACATAAGTGTTACTCATTCAATAGATGTGAAGGATTTGTAAACAAAATCATTATGATGAAAGAGTTAACTGTACCTGAAAGAGAGTATTTTATTGCCTCTTGACTTGATATCAACCCTTGTTCAGTCAACACTGGAATTATTTGATTAATACCAAGGTGCATTGCTTTACGATCATCATACCACCGTTGTTTTGCATCCTCTACAAATCGATTATCTCCCTGGGCAATAAAAATTTATATATTGTATTGAGCAAAACAAAAGCCATGCAAAAACTTCACCTATAATTATTAAATGAGCTTAGCATGATCTGAATTATAAAATCATATATTCAGAACAGTTTTTTATGTTAAATTAAATTTTTTTTAGTTGTAACGTACTTATTTCACTTTATTATAATTGTAAACTCATTATTAATAACTATGAAAAATGAAGAAGTTTTATTTTACACCTACCGGTAATGAGAAAATAGATTTACTAAGTCTGTATTTGAAGACATGTCCCCAAATACCGATTAAAGTGCTAGCATTAGCTATTCTATTCAAATCTAACAAAATATTCTCATTTTAGCATATATCGCAAATGTAGGATGATTTTTGTACGTACATGACTGCAGAGCTAATCTAGTCGGTATATCATCTTAATTTAGGCCACAATTTTTCAGTTTTTTTATTAAAAATTATGACGGGGAATTATCTTTCAAGCAATGTCAAAACTAATAGAGCGCAAGAAAATTGGATCAACGTCTAAGAAGTCAACATAATGGTAATATCCAACTACCAAATATTTCCGGCATTTATTGGCACAGAAATTGATATTAACAAGCTAGATTACCCCTATACATATGAAGTCGTATTTTCTATTCTACAACGGTGAAATACGGTACTGAAGTATTTTAAAAAATACTATAAACAGATTTTTGTCAAAATTTGAGAACAACAAGTTTTGTTAAGCTGTATAACTTTATCATTTTTCCACATCTCGGTTAAACACATCAGCTGCGACACCATTTAACTTATTTCAATGTTTTGATGAGAAAATGTTCCCTTACCAGTTGAAATACTTCTACTATTGGCTTTAAATGGTAAGCCTGATTTGTATCATTTTTGTCACACAAATACCATTCTTCAAACGCTTCAAAACATTTGGGAGATACTCCTTGAATCTTTTTTGACCAGTCTTTTATAAGTCCCATCTCATATGAGTTGATCGTAAATGGAATCTCATATTCGCCATAACGCTGACCAAGTACAGTCTAAAGGGTTTTGATATGTTTGTTTTCTATAACTTAACTCACGATAAAAGTTGGACCGATTGAAAGAAACTTGCAGTGTTCAACTTCATCATAGCATGTTTTTGGACCAAGATGATCTAGCTGAGTAACATTTGGCACACCCCAGCGCATGTCGATAGCCTGCAAAAGAATTAAAGAAAAAATTGGTCTGTGAGTGACACTACCAAAGGTTTGACTTGATAATCTCAATTTGGTTAGTCATGCTCTGGGGAATTGACCCACACTAGTTTGTGAAACGTCAGTAATTCAATATTCTGCTAACTGGGATATTACTTATATATTGCTTTATTATTATAACTGAAAAAGAGATTAAGCTGATAGTGCAAAATGTTCCTGTGTTTATTACTAGAGGCAAAAAACGTTTCACAAGGATTTATATTCACTTTCTTGGACTAATAGTTCTAGTTTTGGGTACATTAGCTCAAAAGACGTGAACTTGAGACTAACACGTCAGAAATATGCCCTGTGAAGTTAAAATAAACACTGCAAATATATATTACAAACGGTAAGTTTACCGAAAGTTTGTATAATCAATTTATTATTAGGATACTAGTTATAATTCACTTGTTACCGACAAGATGTGTTGAGAATTCCTAGTGAGTATATAATTTGATATCGTACATTTCGGTAGTAAACATTCAGAAGCATGAGTAAAAAACTACCTAGTAAATGGGGAGAAGGTGAAAAATCTTTAAAATGTCAACAGGCGATCAAACCATAAATAATAAGGAGAGATGATAGATGACAACCACTTCTTCTTTGTCCTAATAATCTGAGCTTACGTGATGTATTTACTCTCTCCTCTCATGCACTATCAAATTACCCGGAAACTAAAGTTTTGATTATAAAAAATACATTTACAGTTCATTACCAAACTCACGTAAAAATCGAAACCATACTTCTCACGGCAGTAAACTTTGAGTTTTGGATATATGTACTTCATCAAAACATTTCTCTCCAAGTTTAAGTCTTTCATAACGTAAAGGGTATAATTTTATTGTTCCTACCAGAAAACGTCGAGCTGATGAAGATACGGACAGATTTGCTGTTCATTCGTGGTAAATTAGAGAAGTTTCCAGACATAACGAAATCATATGAAGATTTACATTTTTCAAAACCTCTTATTGCAAATTTCGATTTCAACCTCTGCCACGGTTTTGGCTTTGATGACCTCCTTCGGTTGATAATCTGACTTGCGATGGTTTCGAAATCCATAATAAAAGTTGAATGATTTTTTCTGACTGCTAATTATTTATTTACAGTCAGGGTAATGAAATAACTGTATAAAACCGATTCAGTATATAAAATAAAGACAGAAAAAGTGAAACAGTATGAAAAATACCAAGTTGAATAATTTGGGGAGGCTGCAAATAAAATCAAGTATGGTTTATATCAGTGAATGATAACTACAAAATGAACGTTTTGAATACGTGCGCACTCGAATCTTAGCATTTATAATTACGGTATTGATACTAACAAAATTTTTTAGTATCTGTTGCATGGATACGATTCTGTTGAACAGCTATCATTATGCAAATTTTGATGTCGGAAAACTTATGAGGTTGGTTGGGAAATAAATATTGAAAGATGAGTGCTGTGAATAGTTGTAAGTTGGACATATATGACAGACTGAGTTTACTTGCAGAATATTCATAAGTCATTGATACCGTCAGATCTTGATCTATATGTATACATGTCTATTCACAAGTTTCAAGATAGAAACTAAAATTTTTCAAAATATTTGCATGATTTTTGCCCACTCTTGAATAAGGCATTGAGTTTTCAGTTAGAATAATTTCACGGATTCATGAACCACTGGATAAAATAAAGTTGCAAATGGAGTGAAAGGAGTTTTCATCTAAGAGCCCACGTTTCTGGTAGGAGTATATATATTCTCAACGCTTTCAGGTAGCAACCTATATCTATGAATCAAGAAGTGAGGGAAAAATCTGAAAACAGGTTTAACTGAACGCATTGCGTATGTAAGCCTGTTCGTGTAGGAGGTTACATCCATGTTCACTGAAGAAGATGAAAGATCCACGAATTCTCCTGGAGGTCGAAGTGTCTTTCCATAAACGAGATGCGCTGCAGTGTATCCAATGTCAGCTTTTACTGCATTGCGAATACCTAGTAAGACGAGTGGAAGAGTGTCAGTCCACTGAGAAATGTTTACAGCTGATAGTGAAGCTTTTAGTTGTCGGTGAAAGCGTTCTATCAACTCGTTTGCTTGTGGGTAGTAGGCGGTCTTTCTGAAACCACTGATTCCTAATAGTGTGATCAGACACCGTAAAGTCCAGATTCGAACTGGCGTTCGCGATCTACAGTGATGGTTGAAGGGCAACCGAAGTTTACTACCCATCGTTCGACGAAGGCGCGATCCATTGTTTCAGCAGTAATGTCCTTGATGGGTACTGCTTCTGGCCATCTAGTGAAACGGTCTAAACAGGTTTAAAGATAGGAATATCCATTTTAATCTGGTAAAGGTCCTACCAAATCCAAATGAACATGGTCGAGGCGAGCATCGGGAGTTTTAAATGAGCCTAATGGACATTTGTTGTGTCTAATAACCTCAGATTTTTGGCAGCTTACACAGGAGCGTGCCCACTCCCTCACGTCTTTATTCATACCAGGCCAGCGAAACCGTTCTGCTATAATCTTGATGGTTGCACGAACACCTGTATGAGAAAGTCTGTGCAACGTATCGAAGACGTTGCGTCGATATTGTTTCGGTACGATTGGGCGATCCCTACCTGTAGACATATCACAAAGTAAGGTTTCCTCACCTGTCCCCACCTGTTTAATGCTCAGCTTAAGGGTTTTTGAGGATAACTCGTGCTGAAGATCAGTGTCTTTTTTTGAAGCTGGGCGAGTTTAAGAAGGTCGATTCCTTTGAAGCTGCTCAAGGAATTTATGCGAGACAAGGCGTCTGCAACTACATTGTTTGCTCCAGAAATGTCTCAAATATCTGAAGTAAACTGCGAAATGTAGTTCAGTTGTCGAGACTCACGTGGTATGTACTTGTCTGAAGATGAGCTTAAAGAGAAGGTAAGAGGTTTATGATCGGTAAAAACGGTGAATACTCGGCCTTCAATAGAATGTTGAAAATGCCTCACAACACAACGCATAGCCAGGAGTTCCCCACCAAATGTGCTGTGCCTCGATCCAGTGTCTAGCAACCGTCTGGAAAAAACTCATGTCGGACTCACCAATGAAGATTCCACAGGTATTTGGAGTTTGACAAAACTTTAACCGGTAACACCTCTTACTATGAATCATACCGACTAAATGAAATCAAAAGACAGAAACGAGGAGGTTCGAAGATATCTTCGATAGGCTATCAATTTATTGTGGATGGACTGGTCTAGGCTGGCTGGAGATTGCAGAGGATGGTGAGCACGGCGTTCCCACACGTGATCTGGTGCGGATGCATGACCGAGAGCATTCAGCTAGGTGAGTCTATTAAAGCTAATGTGGTCATCATCCAATGTCGAAGACTTACAGAGCTATTTATTTTAGAGATTTATTCACCGCTATAATAGCATGTTTTTCTGATTCCTATAAAACTATATGTAGGATCAGTGCAGTGTCACTGAGCCCTAGCCAAATCATTCGACAGTCGGATCACTGAATACTGAATTGTCCACAGATCTCCGCCTAATCAAAGAACGATAAATGCGCATCAGTTAGTTGCACGCTGTGAGTTGGACCACATGGTTACGGTTGAGCTCTGTTCCTTATGCATTTCCTTTTTGATACATTTCTATGATAACATCGTTTGTGTGATACGGTCACCAAAGTTGTCATAGGACTTGGATGCGAAGAAAGTTTGATCAACATTGAGTGCTAACCGTTAGATATGACTTTGAAGTTACCTGGTTGGTCATGTCATTCTCATCAACTTCGAGTAGGCCCCTAATCATTTAATGTAGATCATTTTCGTTTGTGGCCGATATGTACAAAGCATCATCCTAAAGGACGCCTGAGAATTCACTTCGGTATCTGCAGCTTCCAGGCATTTTTCCCAGGGTTTGTTCTGAAAGGGAACTCAAGAAAGTCTTCTGGAGTAGGTACTGTAGTGCTAAGGATGCCATTAACCACTATACACATGTAAGGATGTTTTGAAAATCATTTTCACTTTTAAAGCAATAGAAATTGTGAATGGAGTCAGTTAGTAATAGAACAAGAAAAACGACACGAAAAGGAAACGTCTGAGATAATATCTTACATGAAAGTATTTCGAAACTTTGGAGTTCTTCCACAATGCGAAATCTCTCATTGACCGTTAACTGTCAGGGGTTGAATCTTATTCGTTGGGTTGTGTCGCTTCATTGTCAGGCGATAGAGTCGAGAGAGATGAACCAACCTTCTAGGTAAATGGCCTTTATACAGTTAATGTTGACGCTTTCGTATTTTACTTTCTTATTGAGGGTATAGCGATTCGACACACGATGAAGGAATTCACGGGGAAGTCCGTCCTCAACCTCAAGGCGTCGCCTTAATTAGTACCAAAGCACAAATTATTGGCCTTCTACAATGTTGAATATACTTTGCAACACAATACAGAATAATGATTTCCGTACTTAGATTCAGTATCTTGAAACCATTTTGAGAAGTGTTTCGCTTATCTATTGTTGCAAGACTCCATTGAATTATTTTCCACTTCCGTATTAGCACTACTAATAATAATAAACCTAGTTCAAAGATTGTGGATTTGTCTTGATGTGATTGCCTAATCTATAAGATCCTACATGGAAGTCACATCATTGTCTGTATGACGTCTAGCATTTCTGAAGAACGTATTTAGGCTGGGGATAAAGTAATATACTTTATACGAAGAACAAGCGGTATAAATGAGATACTTCGACCTCATGACCGAGCTATAATATACCGATCGATTGCTCCTGCGTTCACTATTGCCGATCTCCTCCAAGTGATACATATTGAATGTCATTTTTTTCATCAATTAAATGCCCAACTTTGGAAACCATGTGGTTAGGGAGCAATACCACTACAACTCCGATTTCTAAGTGTAATGCGCTTAAGTGCTCTTATTGGGTTCTTTATTGTCATTTTGTGTAAATATAGTTGGCTTCGCAATACCGTTTACTGTGATGAATGCTCTCTTCAGGCTGTTTTACTCTCTTATTGATTAGTTGGCTTTTCCATATGGCTAGAATGAAATTACGATGATTACCTTTCATATGCTTTATTGTGCCTGTAAGCCGATCTGAATCCTACGGTTTATATGCACATTATAACGCTCTAACGGGAGCTGCTTTGTGATTCCGGGCAATCCAGTGCAATCAGTTGATTAGAATAATCTTGTCTCAACGATCAGTAGCAATACAGAAATAAAGAAGCCGAGGATCGAAGTGCCCAGTGATAATGCATTCAAGCCTATTAATTAACAGACAAATTATCGGCGAAGTATTGAGCTATGTGTTGTATTGACAGTATTGAATATCACATGTGAATCCACATGGCATCGGGTTCAAGAACTGATTGACGACGACATTTAAAAAACCAAACGTTTAGAACGACAAATGAATAAGAAGACGCGTGATTCTATTGACTCGAAACTGCTAGATTTTGAAGTTGGTTATATTATCAAAGAGATCAACATTTGCCACGTAACTCTTGGAGAAGGTAAAAAATTGCATTGCTTATTGACACAATACGACGAATCAGTCTAAACATTGATGTAACTTTCACCTAAGATCCTATAGATTAGGCAGTCACGGAATAACTACTACAATTTAGAAATAAAGACTATACGTATATTAGAAAAAAAATGTACCTATACCAGAGAACATCTACACGTAGATATATACATTCAGAAATCAATAAAAAGCAGATAGGCAAAATTTGGGAAAATATCTGATAAGAAAAGACAAACATAGGACGGAATGCTCTGCATCAAAAACATAAGGCTGCTAAATTCTGGAGAAGCGGTCAGAAGTTGTCGCGCTTAGACTGGGTATTTACAAAGGAAGAATATCTAATTGGCAATCTCTCAATCCTGACTGCCCAGTTATGCAGCCTCTCTTCGTCAAGCCAAAACTGGAATTTCCCAACTGTTGGGTCCGAACGGCCCGGCCAATAACGACAGTGACGCCGCTTACCTTTTGGCTGAACAATACTCCCGGACATTTCAAACGACCCACATCAAATATACTGATGAGAGTTTCATCTTTAACTGCACAGAACTTTCCGTAGTGAACCTGAGCGCTGACTTGGTGTTCCGGAAACTGCAGCACTTAAGAAAAGACACTTCTCCTGGCCCAGATATGGTCCATTCTGCTATAGTGAGGGAAGCAGCTTCAATCGTGGCAACACCGTTTAGCGTGATGTTCTCACACTCGCTAAGCCGAGGCAAACTACCGGAAATTTGGGAGCTGGCTCACATGACACCAATTTTCAAGGGAGATCGACGTAGCAAACCGACCGGTGGCTCTTCTCTCTATACCTTCAAAAGTCGTGGAGTCCCTGATATGCGATGGTATACATGACTATTTACTGTCCTTAAATTCCTTCTCACCCCAGCAGCATGGTTTCAGGAAGGGTGACTCCTGTATGACGAACATGCTGACCGAGGTGGACAGATGGACAAGCATCCTCAATCGCAAGAGGAGGTTGATATCACTTACCTTGATTTCTCAGAATCTTTTGATAGGTTTAACGATATGTCTTATCAATAAGCTCCAAACGATTGGGTATCAAGTCATCTCTAATTGATTGGCTCACTTCATATCTAAAAAATCGACATTTTGAGGTCAGTGTTAATTTCACTTTATCTCATGTTATGGAATGTCCTCCAGGGTTTGGTTCTAGGACCCCTTCTCTTCTTGATTAATATAAATGATCTTCCACAACAGGTGTCGTCTGACTTATTACTTTTTGCCGATGACGTGAGACTTTGGAGAGAGATACGCAACCAAGAGGATATACAGGCACTTCAGGAGGATCTGACTCGACTTCAGAATTGGGCAGACAATAACGTATTTGCCTTTAACACTTCGAAGTGTAAAGTAGTCCATCTGTGACATGTCGCGGACCACAGCTATAACTTAGGAAACTCCTCCTTAGTAGTATCTTGAGTCGAAAAAGATTCAGGATCGTTTGCACCCTACGATTTGAAGTCTTACTTTACCTGTGACAAATGCCTTTCGAGCAAACCTTGTACTAGTAACATTGAAGCGCATCTTTGGCCAGTTTGACGGTAGAACTTTCCACACAATCTTCAACAGTTTTATTCCCTCCTACACTCCAAAAGGGTAAGGACACTCTGGAGCGTATCCAACGGCGAGCCACGAAATCAGTTCGGGAACTCAAATGCAAGCCTTATTAAATGCGCCATAAATCACTTAACCTTTACCCATTGGAGTATAGGCGTCTTAGATGTGACCATTTGATGGCTTACAGTGTCCTTTACACTTCTGTACGTCCTCTTAAACACCTACTTATATTTAGCTCCAACATAAACCTGAGTGATAACAACCATAAATTGGAGACACAACACATCAAAACAAACTGTAAACCCAACTTCTACTCCTCAGGAGTTATCAAATGCTAGAATTTTCTGACGGTTGAGCCAGATCAAGAGACTACTCAGGAGTCCTTTAGGAGGTAGCTTGACCTATTCTTTTGGACTAAGGATAACATCTTACTATGATTTATCAATTTCTTTTTCCTCTGTTATCGTTAATCCACCTATGTTCCTGCCTGGAGGTATTGGTGATCCACTACTACTAGACACGGAAGCCTGTTAAGCGAAGGCTTCTTCTATTCCGTCCACAACCATTTGAACCATATGAACCATTTGATGGAAGGTGCATTTTCAAACGCTGTACGTTACGTATGGTCGTCTAAAAACTTCTCCCAAATACACGACGTAAGGAAGAAAAATCTACATTTCCCCTCAATAACAGACATGAAAGCAAAAATTCGACATTTATCCTTTATTTGCACTTTTTTCCGCCCTATTTCCCCTTTATTTTTTGCTTGGGTTATTTTTGATTACTCGTCATAATCGATATGGTAAAAAATCATTAAAATACGATACAAATCTGACTTACTGCGAGTGATCCGACGACACACGAAACATTTTTCTTTCCTGGGTTCGCTGTTGTTCACATAAGTGTAAATTTCGCCTCTCAAATTAATTGTATGGAGTAAGTCGTCATGTACTTCACTGATTTCTTTGGAAATTCACAAATTGTTTGATATAATCTAGTCATCTAGGACATTAAAAGACAGAATAATCATTTTTGGTCTTTCTATGTCAGTTAGCTGACAAACTGATCACTAAGTTGCACGAAATTTCTAGGATATGTGGACCTTACCATCGATAATGGTAATTTTAAATATCTTTACTACTCAATGTCATTGTATCGTTTCCTTCTGTGATTATTTTCATGAAAGACAAGATCTCACTAACTTATATAACCCCACTGATAGGCTTAAGGTATTTACGTAATTATTTGATTTATTTCAGTTCCTAAGTAAACAAAAACCACACATTGAATATTACCTACTATTTTGTTGACCTCAAAACTTTTTGGCAGTTGGCTCTAACGTTCAAAAATTTCTCTGTGGAGGAAAACTCGTCCGTAAGTCTAAAACTAGTTTATTTGACGGAAGTGCATTAGGGTTGTATCTTTGTCACATCTAAATCCATAGATGTAGTCCGATTTATAACGCTAAGGCTTCTGAGAAACGGTCCAAAAATATTTAGTACACAACATACTTCTTTTTTTCTGTTTACTGAATGTTGTGTCATGGTCTGGATCAGCAGTTTTGCCCCATTAGGTCAGAAGTAACATATAAAAGTCGTTAGCTCAGTGTATTCATCTACAAGAAACGATATTGTGTAACGGTAACCTACAATACATTTGTACTAAGTGAGCGATCAGTGGATATGAGCTTCTGTCTTGTTAATGAGCTCTTCAGACAAATCTTGTCCAGCAACACAAAGTAAATAACACCAAACGTCTGATGTAAATCAGATGCATGGTTAGTGCTATGCCCTTATAAATCTAGTAATCCTGAAATCCGATGACATTAGGTTATTTGTTTGTCTTTGTTGGTTTACAAATAATTAAGTCTATCAGCAGTATGATTTTAATGTGCATTTTCAGTTCTCGGGCATGAAAACTAAAAGAAAACATCCATCAAGCTCAACGTATGAGAGAGGTATGGCTGAAACACAAGTTTGTGGAAATAATTTAAATAACGGTAGGTTTGTCTATATTTATTTTATCGAATAGAAGCACCCAGAAAAATCCTAACAGCTATGTGGGACTTTGAACAGTGCGATCCGAAGCGCTGCTCAGGTCGCAAATTAGTTCGTTTAGGAATTACGAAATTGTTACGGATGAACGAAAGCTTTGGAGGCATTGTTCTTACACCTACTGCGACTTGTGTCTTATCTCCTGACACTGATCGCCAGTTGATGTATAGTGGTGGAATTGCTGTAGTAGATTGCTCTTGGGCTCAACTGGAGCAGACTGGATTTAAAAAGGTAAGGTTATATGAATCATACATATATGCCATTTTTTTACTACCTTTCAAAATGAATTACTCATGTCGAGATAAATGACTCTTGAATCGAGACCATTGTCCTATTGATCGACTGTCAAACGTTTTAACTATGTTCAGTATGTTTATGCAGTAGGAATTAGTGAATTTCATCGTTTTAGCATAGCAAATCTATTCGTCTAAACAACTTTAATTTCTCTCTCCGGTTTATTTTGTTAGTGTTTTCATACTCTGGTCACACTTGGTCTTATTGCTTCTTGGTTAAAACACAGCATTCAACCTATATGACACAGGTTTAGGACCCACCCATTTTTCCTTACGAACTTTGTTTCTCATACTCAGACTTCTTTTAGTTCCGTTAATTATTCGTATCCTATGCTGTCGGCTTTCTCACAGTGCTGATGTGGAGTATGGGAAATCGGGCTGATGTACACTTAGACTAGGTTCTACGTTAATAACGGATGATGGACTCAATGCTCGCCTTATCTGCATGGGTTTCGACAATCGGAAAGTACATAAATATGTACTTGGTATATGAGTTAGTGAAATTTGTAACTTCTGGTGTGTAAAAGTTTCGAGACACTAGTTCGTAAATATTGAATAAAAATGTGGAAATATATTCTATGAACGCGTCGAACAAGAGGGACATCTGATTATGTACGTTTTATCTACAGTTAACCGGGTAACTATCAAGAGCATAATCCGTTCCACTCACCTTGTGATTCTCATTGATCACGATTAGTTGATAACTCGAAAAGATCTTTGCAGGGGTATAAAAAGATCATCGGACATATGACAAGTAGTGCCACTTGTAGTACTATTTATTTATTTAAAAACAAACGTTGGTACAAGGAGGCACCAAATAGATATGCGCTATATAAGTCACTCGATTTTTGTGAGGGCTGGGATACTTCCCGGGTGTCCAAACCGAAGCAAGTAGTACAGACAAGATTTGTCCACTAAGAGGCTATAGATGTGGAATATGATTGTTCAAAGTACAAACTGTGGTTTGCGAGCACTTGAAAGTAAAATCCCACAAAACGTTCGCATGTTTTGGAATCACTGAGTGAGTGATATTAAACGTAGAAAACCATGTAACTAAGGTCATGGGCTTATGTTAACCTGAACCCCCATGTATCCGTTAAATGCTGACTGGTATAGGAATAAATCGGAAGGAGGCTAACAACTATGTCAAGAAATCAATTATAACTCATGAAGTGTGGGGTTATGTAGCTTTGAACCATACTATTTCTGTAGGAAATGTAGTTCCTATCCCTCTATCTATGCTGATTTAGATGAAACAGAATCCAGACCTTCAACTTATTGATCAGAAGATGGTTATTTTAACCGCTAAACAATAACCGCACACGAACTTTATTACTTGCAGCTGACTGACCTCATATTTCTAAACGATATCGATTCGTTTCCCGTGAATAGAAGTTTGATTAAATTGTTTTTTTTTAAATATTCACTGAATTCGATTATTTATATTCTGCTTTGTAGTTATTTTTCTTTTGTTTCATATACTTCTAACTATTATCATCACATTTTCTATTGTTTAGTTGAAATTTCATCACGGACGTTTACTTCCACTTTTGATTGCATCTAATCCAGTAAAATACGGCAAACCGTTTCAATTATCATGTGTTGAGGCTCTAGCTGCAAGTCTTTATATTCTTGGTGAACACAATCAAGCAACTGAACTGTTAAATAAGTTTTCTTGGGGTCATCAATTTTTAACATTAAATGACCAGCGATTACAATCTTACGCGAAATGTTCTACTAGTAAAGAAATTCTCTGTTTTCAAGAACGTTTTCTGGATGAAATAACGCGTGTAGATAGTTCAAATACAGGTAAGTGTTTACATAATTCGGAACCAGTTACTATTGTCTTTAGAATCATATGCTGATATTTATGCTGAACTAGATCAACAAATTTCAGCTGATTCTTCAAGGTTTGTTTACCTGTTAATTTTAACTGTACTTGCATAGTTCTGAGTGTTCTAGTTCATCAGAGGATTTCACGGAGCAAACAATAAAAACCCACTCACCAAGTACGTTTAAATATCCCCACTCAATTACCCATGTCAGTCAGTCAGTCAGTCAGCTGCAACGTAGGACCAGGCACGTATATGCATCGGTCCAAGTTGCCATACCGCATTAGCACAACAAGATGAACACCGGATTCATAGAAGTAGTTAATTCAGTGGTGGTAATATATAGAAGAAAGATTGTGTATAAGGAGATAGTAAAGGAAGAAAGAATTAGTTCCTAGACAGATATGAAGCGATTTTAATCTCTTAATTTAAAGGAAGACAGAGAGTGTATACACCGACGCCATTGTGATCGATTCTGAGCCATGTCACCAAGAGTCTCCAACCATTGGTTACGATAGTCACGCGGACCCCAACCAGGCAGTCTGAATCTCCCAACATGGCTCAGCCCAGAAGTTAGTGACTTCAAGCACTGATGCCACGTTTTGGTTTGGCCGCCCCTAACTTTCTTCCAATTATCCCCTGCACTAGTCAGCATTGCGCGTCGTGGTAATCGGTGTTCAGGCATATGCAACACGTGGCCCAACCATCTCAGTCGATGAAGATTCATAACCTCATCAACTGATTTACCATCATTCCCTAATACCCTACGTCTAACCTCACTATTACTTACCCGGTGATCCCAGCAGATACCCGCAATGTTTCTAAGGCACCTGTGATCAAATACCAGTAACTTACGAATATCTTCCACTCTTAAAGGCCATGTTTCGCAGCCGTATAGAAGGACGGAACGAACTGCCGCGCAGTATACTCGTCCCTTAATTGATAGACGGATATCTCGCCTTCGCCATGGGTGACGTAAGTTGGCAAAGGCCAAGCGAGCTTTTCGAATCCGTGCTGAGATTTCGTCAGACACCAACCCATTAGGGCTGATCAGACTTCCAAGATAAGTGAAGTTGTCAATGCGTTCGACTACTTCACCCCCTATCCTTAGTTCAGGTGTTGATGCAGACCAGTCCTGAAGCAACAACTTGCATTTAGAGGGAGAAAAGCGCATCCCAAACATTCTAGCATTGTTGCTCAGTGCTACCAAAAGACTCTGCATTTCATCAGCGTCTTCACCAAACAGGACTATGTCATCTGCGTATTCTAAGTCAATAAGTGGACCTCCTGGTAGGAGATCAATACCCGAGAAGTCAGTCGATGAGAGCGTTATTTCCATCAGTAGATCTATGATGAAGTTAAACAAAAAAGGAGAAAGTGGACAGCCTTGACGGACGCCACTTGAGGTTGCAAAAGCAGATGACAGTTCGCCATAGGCTCTGACCCGACTAGTAGTGTTCGAGTAAAGAGCCTTCACAAGGTTTATGTACTTCTGAGGTACGCCTTTCAATGACAGACACTGCCACAGAACCTCTCGGTCAACAGAGTCAAACGCTGCTTTTAAGTCAAGGAATACCACCATTGTCGGACGCCGATAAGTATGCCTGTGTTCTAGAACCTGACGAATGGTGAATATGTGGTCGATGCAGCCACGACCAGGTCTGAAGCCAGCCTGATTTTCACGTGTTTGCAGTTCACGAGTCTTAGTTAGGCGTCCGAAAATTATCGAAGCTAGTATTTTAGATACTATATTAGTCAAACTAATCCCTCTGTGGTTGTCACAGGATGATTTTGACCCTTTCTTAAATATTGGGACGATAAGTGATTGTGACCAGTTAGATGGGATAACGTCTAACTCCCAGATTTTAGCTAAAATATTAGTCAACCTAATCGCTAAAACTAGACCACCATCCTTAAAGACCTCTGTGGCCAATCCATCTGGACCAGCTGCCCTTCCTCGTTTCAGATTAGCTATAGCCTTTTGAACTTCAGCTAGAGTTGGGGGACCTACTTCAATGTTCCATTCACACTGTCTGGGAATAGAGGGTAGTTGTAGAGTAGCTGAAGGCCAGCTAAACTGCTCCTTAAAGTGTTCCGCCCATCGTTCTAAGCGTCTGGACTGGGAGCAGATGAGAGTGTCGTCTTTTTCCGAAATGGTCTGACTTACACTTGATTTATTAATTCCAGTTTCTTTTATTAGTCTGTAGAGTTGTCTTGTGTTCCCTATAGCCGCCGCCTTTTCCATCTCTTTTGCTTTCGTTGCCCACCACTGCTCACGATCATTCCTTAGACTTTTGCTTAATCTAGATTTGATTTCTTTACGCTCTTCATCGTATTCAAAACCTGATGGGATGAGTTTGCGAGAATCTATCAGTGCTATAGACCTTGACGAAATCCATTGGTTTTTTGTAACCATTTGGTTTAAATCACTGGTAGATGTCACTGCTGTTTCCACAGCTGCTTGTATAACTTTCCAAGCAACATCTGGGTCAGTCTCGTTTTCAGAACTACCTAAGTGTGACCTCAGTTGTTCCTGGAACCTACTTTTGGCTTTCTCATTACTCAATTCGGTTCTAATGAGTCTTTTTTGTGTGGCTCTTTTGCGTCCAGTGAGGCGCAAGCAGATGCGTGCTCGTACTAGGGCATGATCAGAGTCCAAGCAGGTACCCCAGAATGAGCGACAATCTTCTATTGACCCTCTCCAACGATGACTGATGGCAATATGGTCTATTTGAGTCCATCGTTGGTTTGGTGCAGGGGGTCGCCATGTTAGACGATGTCTCTCCTTATGCTTAAAATTTGTGTTTGCTAAAAATAAACGATTGTCTGAGCACAGTTGCAGCAGACGATCACCATTATCTGTTCGCTGTGCCGGAATACTAAAATACCCACCTAAATGTCTTTCTGTTTTGTTTAAGCTACCTACCTGGGCATTAAAGTCGCCTGCTATGAGTACTATGTCTGAATGTTTAGCTTTCTGAAGAAGTTCAGACAGCTTTCTGTAAAATTCATCTTTCACTTCATCCGAACTGCAGTCAGTGGGAGCGTAGGCAGAAACGACGAAAAGGCAACGACGTGTGTCCCTATCCTTCCGAGTTCTTACGGAGCCGTTTAGCCGAACAGCGCATGGACGACTGTTTACGGGGATCCACTCTAATAGCGCTTGTTCCGCCCTCATGCTAAGTTCTATGCCTACACCTGTCGGTCCACGAGAACTAGCCATCGGGTCGCCAGATACACGGAGGCTGTATCTCGTTGGCTCTCCGTTTTGCCGAGGTGAGGTCAAGTGAATGACCACACTAGGATCCTGTATGCGTGTTTCGGAGACACAGCATACATCAATCGTAAGAGATTCTAAGGTTTTAGCCAAGGAAGCCTGCTGACCGATTTGGCATAGTGTGCGTACGTTGAAGGCTCCAATGTATAGTTTGGAGCGAGGTTTCAGTAGACCTGGGACGGTGTTTTGAGCACTAGAATCGTTGGCTGTGGTGACACTTGAGGAGGAAGCTAAAAGAGGAAGTTTAGTGTATAAAGTCGATGTAGGAGGAATAATAGGAATTGAAGAGGGAGGTTGACTATGAATACAGTGGTCTTGAGTGCTGTTAGAGGTATGAGGGCGGTTATCACTTCCCGGTTGCCCACACCGTGGAAGGGTTCTTCTGGAGGTACCTGAAAAGGAAATTGGATTAGAGTTGGTCATAGTGACCTGAGAGCGTGACCGCAGTGCCCAAGGGACAGCTGCTTGAGGTCGGTCACACACGACCTTTTTATGAGTGATTTTTGTGTTAGCTCCGTACTTGTTGAGACCTTACCGCCGGAGACGGATATCCGTGGGATAAGGCGAGGTGTGCATTTTTAGGGTCGACCTTTTCTAACCCCACCCCTCCTTGTGGGAAGGCAGCATCGCTGTCATGCTGGTTGTCTGAAGGAAACACCTTACTGCTGTCACACCTCTGTACAGTCAGCAGTACGACTTCGCCTTCGGACCTTGGTTTTGTTGCTTTTAGTCTTACCGCTCTTCAACCGACCTGTCTGGCATGGTAGGACCTTGAGGAACGGTTGTTCCAGCCAGTATAGCTCAGTTGCTTCATCACGATAGGCAAGCCCGACCACCACGTCAAGGTAGCAACAACGGTCAGGAATTACCTATGTTACCCCTCGTGGATAGCTAAATAGTTTCATTTTCATTCGCGAACACCACTAGAATCGTATATCGGATTGGCTGCTTACCTCTCACTCAATGATCTTTATACTCTATCAAGGCGACTAGATTAATCCTATTTTGGGAGATTGTGAATTAGACGGTTGTAGTTAATGGGTAGAATACCGTCTATCTTTATCGTATACTAATCCACACTACTTAGGAAGGGCTATCTATAGCCTCACGAATACTTTCGTAGATATTTAAGTTTGTGTTACTGTTACAATTACAGGTTATTTATAGTACTACCAAAATATTGTAAAACCGAATTCTATATACTAGTCGATTAGTAAAGTGATCAGTTTCATGTCGTCTATTCCACACTATAGACTGAATTCTGTTGATCAAGTTTGGGTTGTATTCGCAACTACTAGTCTCTATATTTTCGTGACACTGTATTGTGTTCTGTTCTTTTAATTTTAGTCTAGCTCACAGTAAAATTATGAAGTGAATTAATCCCAGATATATCCAGACTATTTACATTATGAATGGCTAGTGTAAGGTGGCAGACACACCTTGTATGAATCAATAGTTTTATGTAGTAAAAGGCATTCATCAATGGAAAACTTGGAGAGTAGGGGTGAGATTGTACAACCATGTCTAACCTCACCAGAATGCTTCACATCCGACGCGGTCGAACTCCACTGGTCACGGCATCTGAATTGAAAGCCCTGATGCTGCTTCCCGTGGCCTCGCTGGCGTTGGTGTAGCATTGAGTCTTAGGGCAGAACTAGCTCTCTTAGACTGGATCCCAGTAGAAAGCTGTTTGTGCGCTGTCCGACTAAACGGAACAGTAAGGACTCGGAAAGATAGGGACACTCGTTGTTGCCTGTTCGTCGTCTCTGCCTACTCTCCCACTAACTGCAGCTCAGATGATGTAAAAGATGAGTTTTACAGAAAGCTTTCCGATCTTCTCCGAAAAGCTAGGCGCTCTGATGTAGTAATAGTGGGTAATGACTTTAATGCTCAAGTAGGTAAACTAAGCGAAAAGGAAAGACACCTGGGTGGATCTTATGGTGTCGCGGCTCAAAGAACAGATAATGGCGACCGTCTGTTGCAGCTATGCTCAGATAACCGCCTGTTTCTTGCAAACACTAACTTTAATTATAAGGAAAAACATCTTTTGACATGGCGACCCCCGAATTCGTCCCAACGTTGGACCCAAATAGATCACATCGCTATCAGCCACCGATGAAGGGGCTCGATGGAAGACTGTCGCTCATTCTGGAACACATGCTTAGACTCAGATCATGCTCTAGTGCGAGCGCGTATTTGTCTACGTCTTACTGGACGTAGGAAAGATGGTACAAGGAAACCCCTTAGGGTCCTACTTAATGATAATCAAGCTAAGAGTATATTTCAGGAACAACTAGAAAAACAGTTAGGCAGCCATGTAAGTGGTGCCCACCTCGAGGCAGCGTTGAATGACATCCGAAAAGCTGTAGAAACAGCAGTGATGTTTGCAAGTACGGTAAACCATAAGGTTAGGGAGAAACACTGGATCTTAGCAGCGTCTACCGCACTGATAGATGCTCGAAAACTCATTCCATTTGGCTCTGAACATCACGAAGAGCGGAGTCAGCTTAAGCGTAAGCTGACTAGAAGCCTACGCAAAGATAGTGAACAGTGGTGGGTAGCGAAAGCAAGAGAGATGGAAAAGGCAGCAGCAATGGGTAAAAGCAGGCAACTGTTCAGACTTGTTAAGGAAACCGGTATTAGGAACCCAACTGTTAGCGAAACTATCTCCGAAAGAGATGGACATATTCATTCTCAATCCAGGAGATTGGATCGATGGACAGAACACTTTAGGGATCAGTTCAACTGGCCTTCAGCCACACTTCGGTTTCCCACGATCTCCAATCTACCTAAACGGCAAGTTAATGTAAGTCCTCCGACTCTTTACGAAGTTGAAAAAGCCATAGTAAATCTGAAGCGTGGGAGAGCAGCAGGCCCTGACAGGTTTACCCCTGAGATTTTTAAGGATGGTGGTCCATTATTAGCAGCGAGATTGACTGAGGTCTTAGGTAGAATCTGGGAACTGGACGTAATCCCATCTTACCGGTCTCAATCACTGATTGTACCAGTCTATAAGAAAGGACAAAAGTCTTCTTGTGACAATCACAGAGGAATTAGTTTGACTAATATAGTGTCTAAAATATTAGCTTCAGTATTACTTCGACGTCTAACCAAAGCTCATGAAGAGCAGACTAGAGAAAACCAGGCTGGTTTCCTACCTGGACGTGGTTGTATAGATCAGATATTCACATTACGTCAGGTCCTAGAACATAGACACACATTTAGACGCCTCGCATTGGTAGTATTTCTCGACCTTAAGGCGGCGTTTGACTCTGTTGATCGTGAGGTTCTATGGCAGTGCTTGTCACTGAAAGGAGTACCAAAGAAGTACATTAACCTTATAAAGGCTCTCTACTTGAACACAACTGGTCGAGTGAGAGCTTATGGCGAACTGTCATCAGAACTGATTACCTCAAGTGCTGTTCGTCAGGGCTGTCCACTCTCTCCATTCTTGTTTAACTTTGTCGTTGACATGCTTTTAGAGATAACACTTTCCACATCTGACTTTCCAGGGGTTGAACTTCTACCGAAAGATTCACTTTTTGACTTACAATATGCCGATGACATAGTTCCACTTGGTGAAGACGCTGACAAAATGCAGAGTCTGTTGACCACTCTAAGCAACAATGCAGGCGTTTTCGGCATGCGATTTTCTCCCTCGAAATGCAAAATGTTGCTTCAGGATTGAGTTGCACCGACATCCGAACAAGTGGTAGGGAGTGAAGTAGTTGAGCGTGTCGACCGCTTTCACTGATCTTGGAAGTCTTATCAGCCCATGTGGTCTGGTGTGTGACGAGATCTCAGCACGGATACAGAAGGCTCGACTAGTTTTTGCCAACTTACGTCATATGTGGCGTAGGCGAGATATCCGTCTATCAACCGAAGGACGGGTTTACTGCGCAGCAGTTCGTTCCGTCCTACTTTATGGCAGTGGAACATGGCCGGTAAGAGTAGAGGATATTCGTAGGTTACTAGTATTTGACCATAGATGTCTTCGAAGCATTGCTCGTATATCCTGGGACCACCGAGTAAGTAATGCAGTTGTTAGGAAACGGGTACTAGGTAAGGATGGAAAATCAATTGAGGAAGTAGTGAAACTCAATCATTTGAGATGGCTGGGACATGTGTTGCGCATGCCCGACCACCGACTGCCCCGACGTGCTATGTTTTATGGTGTAGGAGTAGGTTGGAAGAAAGCTAGGGGCGGCCAGACCAAAACATGGCACAAATTCATGAAGTCACTGACAAGTGGACTGAGCCATGTTGATTGGTATAGGCTACCTGGTTAGGGTCCGAGAGACGATAGCAACCGATGGTTAGAGACCTTGAATGACATGGCTCAAAATCGTTTGCAATGGCGCAGGTGCATCCACCCTTTGTGTTCGCCCAAATTCACATCTTCTGAATTCTTCATGTCCCTTTTTGCTCTTTCCAAATTTGTTTCACTGGATTATACTCCCTGAATAACATCTTCAAACCCTAATCTTTCCAATTACTGCTTATACTTTTAGTACCTCTACCACTATGGGATTTGAATCGATAACTAAATCTCTGTGCTAATGTGGTATGGCAATTCGAACTGATGTACGTACGTACGAAGTTACACGTTGTTACTGACTGACTTTGAGGCTGAATTTGTAATGCTAAGTTTCTGCTGGCAAATAGACTCACCAGTTATTTAGCATTTCAAATATGAGAAAAGGGTTTAGAAAATGTGAGTAAAATGACAGACAATACTACAATTCATACTATAAATTGTTAACATTTCTATATTTCAACTAAATCATTATTTTGTTCTGTTATGTAAATATAACTTCCATTCTTTGATCTACGATTCACAGCTGTTGATAATTCTGACCAACATGATTCCTCTATAGTTGAAGGTGAAAAAATAAACACAATCATCACTAAACAAATCGATACATTGGTTAGTTCATTTGAACGAACCAAACTTTTCACAGAATGTGGCAAAAATTGGGATCGCTTCTACAAGCGTAATGGTGTTCGATTTTTCAAGGTTTTTATTACTTGGTATAATTTTCATTTTAATTTATCCGATTCTGTAAAATTAAATTTGGCGTTGATTATATACATATATATATATATTATTTCCTCGGCATATGAGATCAGAAGAACTTGTCGTTTGACGGACATCGTAGGAATTGTTTTATGTCTTGGAACTCCAACCAATGTCACGTGTTAAATTCATGAATCAAAGTTCTAATTTTGTTTATTCCACGTTTGCTATTTATTCTATATCCCAGTGTCTCAGATTTGACCAATTATACATTTGACCAACATGGTTGACCTCGAGCTAACACAGCTAAGCTCCTATTAATCCGTTACTCACAAGCTTTTCTCTACATTCTGCCTAGAGTCCAAAAAGTCAGCAACAAGGTTCCATTATTGTTATATTTCAAACGCAAGTGGGTTTACATTACAAAAATACTGGACTGCATCGCACCATTAAGTGGAAAATCACAATTATACATAAAAGAGCCGAAAGGGTTTGCGAATAATCAATTTGCAATAAAATAAGGATGGTATACAGCTCACTAATAGTTAGTGGATTAAACGAAAGCGTATATATAGATTTAGTAATCCACTTGCTTATTATACAATAAAAATATACATAATAGTAATAACAATACAAAAACCAAACCCAAAAGTTCCAACTTTTATAATATCACATTGTGACAAATGTCACTATACCAGTTAGTAGCATTAGATGAATCCATAAAGGCTATTGATATAACCTTAGAATTTAAAGCCAGAAAAGCATCGGATCCAGTAAAAAGATTTTTAGCGTTTTTTCCGCGATAGTGTTTCGTCTGGCACACCTATTGGATCTTTTACAATTAACCGTAGCCCTGCCACAAGCAATGCTCCGCCTACCAACTCTCCGAGCGCTCAGGGTATTTTGTGCAAAGTTCTTTTTTTTATTCAACGTTCTGGGGCTGAGTAAGCAGACTATATTATGTGGCTATTGTTTCTGTAGAGCGTATCAACCAGTACGTTTGAACTATTTCTGGAAGTAATGTACACGAAAAACGTTGAACGGTAACAAATATATTTAGTCCATTGATATCATTTTTAGATTCCATTTGTACGTCAGTATATTGAACAGAAAGATACCACCTTTTTCTGTTTCCTTGAGAACAACAAAGAAAAAGTGAACTCGAGCGTTTAAGCTACGTGCTCAACTACATTTGCAGACCAACACCAACTTCGTTGAAGCACACACAGGGTTATGAAGATGTATAATTTAAAGCGTACTGCTTTACGTTGTGCATTTCATTTGTTTCTGCGAAGTAGCTACTAGTTGCATACAAGCTATCACTAAGTGGTTGAGGACTCTAAAATAGTTACTGTCCATAAAACTCACGGTATGTTCGACTTATGAAGACGTATAGGTCCGCGCTCTTGTTAACTTAAGAAAGAAGGGATGCACACATACGTTGAGCGAATTTTTAGCCGATGGGAAAATACCTTTTCAGTACGAGACTTTACTGGAAGACATACTATCCGCATGAATACTATGAAATGTAACTGCTATTTCTGGTGCGAAACGCAGTTACCGTGTAGGCATTTGGTCGCCTACGCAGTGCAGTATGACATAGTAAACCACATAAGTTTATGCAAAAGGTGGTGGGTATTATCTGCTGACTTTTTGTGTCTCATAAACATGCTGCAGAACATCCTAGACACCTCCGGTTTCGCAACTGACGCTAATGGATTTCGCGAGGTTTTTGAGTAGTCTAGTGATTATTCACTAACAGTTCTGGCCGGTAGTTAATTTAGTCCTGCATATGATTTGTGGTTTGGTGATTCTGATCCGATTGTTCAAATTTGTTTCCATTGCCCCTTAAGCGCTATAAATCGTCCATATTGTTTGAACAAAGTTGTTACCTACGACTGAAGATCAAGAAATATCAGTCAACAATGAATTTCGCCATAACGTAGACCTAGGTGCCTTTGTTTCCAGCATTGACTATGATGACATTAATATGGTAGATAAGTCGTATTCATTAATTCTCCTGCTAGAGTTGTTTTTTACAAAAATTCGAACGAAAGTTCAGCACTTAAATTGCTTCAGTGGAAACAACTGGTCGTCTAAAGTAGTTATAAAACTTTCATTTTATACCAGTAATCCACAAGGACGTGGCGAACTGTTGATAAAATGGTTTAAAGTAGGGAGATTTCTGCCTTATCGACCAACAGCCCAGAATATCAATTTTTGATTTAATCATTTCCTACTGATCATCAAAAATAAAATCTAAACCTATCAAACCCTTAATACGGTCTGTAGCTTTCCCACGCTCATGAATATTATCACTAGTTTTAAACAGCCTTCATGGCTAATGTCTTTTACATTGTTAGTTCGAAAGGTGAATTTATTTTACTAATCATTGCCAAGTCTCCTACGTAGGCTACCGCTTGTTGCACCACAGTTTATTTATCCTAATCCAATATTCTACTCGTGTGATGATTAAGTTGGTATTTTATCCTTTATAATACTGTCAGGGAATAACTTTCTTTCTTTTTTAATTTAAAAGGATCGCCATTGGACAACACGCGAGTTTACAGAATTATCATCTTTACATAACAGAACTCCAAGATCTCTTCTTGAAGTCGGTTGTGGTGTTGGAAACTTCCTAGTCCCTTTAATTGAAAGCATGCTTTCCATTTCAAAAGCAGGTATAAATATTTCAGAGGAATCTTGTGTTTCAGAAACAAACGGTTAGTAATCATTGATTTACATATGATATGACATCAAAGAGGTGATTACTGCTTGTTTCTAAATAATCTATTCAAGTAAATTAGGTCATAATTGTATTCTGAACTCGGCGATACTCCTTTTTATTGAGAATCTACTTTTCTTTGTTTTTTTCCCAGATTTAAAACATGCTTATTAAACTTCGCAAATTATCAAATACTTATCTCTCCCAATACCAACAAAATATTCGGGATTGAAAACAATTTTAGGTTCAACAGTCGTATTCATCAAACGATGTTTCCGCACTTACAATTTTCTTAAAGCTAGTAAACTTATTTAGCGTAATACTATTCTCATTCAGTTTATTTCACAATGTCATGGTCGAATCTGTCAGCTTACATCTAGGTTATATTTGCAACGGTACATCTACCAATAGTGTTGTGTTACAAAGTTTATCGATAACAATGGTTTGGTTTTTCTCAACTCATTATTATAAAAGTTGAAATCAGATTGCTTATCTTACTGACAGTATCATACTTGTCAACTCGTTGACATAGGATTACAATGTAACATTCACGATTTGGTGTATTGACAGTTCATAACTACCGTCCGTATCTTGGAACAGAAAGTTCTTGTCCCATTTTACCATTGTTATTTATCTGATAATTTCTCGTCATGCTATTCATATACAGTTCTTTATTACAAAATACATATTATAGAAAGAAACCAAGGGTTAGTTTGTACTTCAAGTAAAATAATATGGTTAGTAATTTTCATGTTATTCGGTGGAGATGTACATTTTGCTGGAGCTTGCTATATCAAGTGGTCAGTGTTATATCTGTGGGATGCTTAACTGACTTGTGATCCATACTGAAACCTCGAATCCCACGACGCGTAGTAAGAACTCAGACTGATTGTAAAAATTTATTTGACCTGGAAAACAAATTCATATCGCTAGTTTGTGTTCTCGCTACGTGTCGTCGAATACAGGATTTCAGTCACTACCGATCACACGCGAGCGCCTAACCACTAAACCACTGAGCCGGCATCCAACAGTGTTAATGTCTAACTTCAACTAATCCACGAAATTGAGCGACACATCCACCATTGTCATCAGCTGGTTACTATCTCACAACAGACCAGGTTGAACTCCACTGGTCACTGCTTCTCACCAGAACTTCAGGATATACCTCTTGAAGCCCCTTCTGACATTAAACGTAAATAGTTGTACATATTATGTAAATAAAACAGGTGTTAGTTGTTCCAAGTTTATTATCTAATAATTTCTTAACATTTATTGTTAGTTTTTACTTATAATGTTATGGAATTTGATGTTTATTCAGTGGTTCAAGCCATAATTGTTGGTTACCTATCAAATTTTACCATGAATACAGTATTTATATCCCATCAGTTGTCATATTTACTATATTGCATTTTCTAACGAGTAGACTTATAAGAATATAGTGATAAAATATCACTTTATTCACTATGGTACCGATAAAATTTTTTACCTCGTATGAAATATTAACATCAAGTCAGAGATTCTCATAATTTCTTAGTTAATCTACTTTTATCTATTCAACATTCTCAATTTAGTATAACCTTTTGTTATTTAAAAAAAAGGAATTTCAAGGATATATGCTTGCGATATTTCACAACGTGCTGTTGACATATTGAATGAGCGTCTCAAAGAATTTCCAGTTAAATGTAATGCCTTTGTTTGTGATGTGACCAAACCCTATTCTCTAAAAGCTGTTTTGTCCTCTTTGAATTCAGTTAGTGATCAAGAATTCAACAATACTGAACATGGTGTTGATCTAGTAACATTAATTTTTGTTCTATCTGCACTAAACCCACAAGAAATGCTCACATGTCTTTGCAATGTTACAAGGTTAGTTTTTGAAACTACACTTAAATAAATCACTCCTCGTTTATTTATTTATTTGAATACTTAAGTACTGATACAAAGGGGCACTAAATACATATGCGCCACACTAGTCATTTGATTTGTGTGTCGGCTATGATACTGCCCGGGTGTCCAAACCGAAGCAGGTGGTTTTCTTAGGGAGCCTTCGACCTAAAGGTTTAATCCACAAGGCAATGGAGCAACGTCAGGAGGTGCAGTCTCATGGTAGCCGGTGAAAAATAATTGGTTCATAAGCCATTTGTTCCCTCAGGATACTGGAGCCCATGTGCACCATAGGTTTGGAACCAGGGTTTGCCAACTCCCCTAGGTAAATCCATCATGTCCACCAGCTCGGTTAAAGCGCCGGACATTCGCTTTTGGTCCTCTCAATTTCGCAAGCAACACCCCCGCAGTGAGGACTTCCCTAGCAGTGGCTGTATATGCGTGACCATGTGAGAGCATTTCAAGGGGGACAGCTGACTCACGTACCCTCAGCCGTACCAGGCCATTTGGGGGCAAAATCACTCCTTAATGGGTTTTGTCAAGAAATTTTCTATGGAACACTCCGTTTCACATTCTTTAGTCTGTTTATAATTTTAAGTTTACCTTCATATAAACTGACAGTTTATACTTTATTGAATGTTCGTTTTTATACGCATTCCAGTAATCGGTTAGTATTTTTAATAATTACAATACATTTCCCCAACCAGTTCGTTAAATATCACTTAACCTAGCCTCTGCAATTATTGAAATGTCCCTTTTCCTCATCGATAGTCAATAAAGTCATTCATTCTCTTCATATCAGTTTGGCCTGCTTGATGTTTTTACTATCTGTTAAAAAACGTGCATTCGTCTTTGCTAGAATCGATAGTTACGTTTTAGAACTTAACTCTTCCAGTGATTGTACATTTTATGTGACGATTTGACACACAGTTTATTTTAAAATACACAGGTTTCTTGTATTTGTTTTTATCGTAAAACGTTAGACCGTAACTATCCGTATGAACACACACAAACATGATCAGAGTGCACGAAAGATTTTTAAAATCTTGTACCATGATACCCCGTCTGACTGGTTGCAATCACTAATTGTCCCAATATATAATAAGGGGTCAGAATTATCTTGTGATAGCCATAGAGGAATCAGTTTGACTAATATAACATCTAAAATAATAGCCTCAATAATTACCGCCAGTAATTAGCGTTTAATAAAGACTCGTGGACTACAAACACGAGAAAATCAGGCTAGTTTCAGACCTGGTCATGGCTGAAACGACCACATATTCACCTTTCGTGCGGTTTTAGAACACAGGCATGCTTATTGGCATCCGACAATGGTGGTCTTTCTTGACTTAAAAGCAGCATTTGACTCCGTAGACCTCGAGATTCCGTGGCAGTGTCTGTCATCGAAAGGTGTACCTCAGAAGTACATAAACCTTATGAAGGTTCTACTCGAACACTTCCAGTCGAGTCAGAGCTTATGGCGAACTATCATCTGCTTTTGCAACCTCAAGTGGTGTCCGTCAAGGCTGTCTACTTTCTCCATTTTTGTTCAACTTCATCATAGACCTACTACTGGAAATAACGCTCTCGTTGACTGAATTTTCGGGCATTGATCTCCTACCAGGAAGTCCACTTTTTGACATAGAATACACAGATGATACAGTCCTGTTTAGTGAAGACGCTGATAAAATGTAGAGTCTTTTGGTAGCACTGAGCAACAATGCCAGGATGTTTGGGATGCATTTCTCCCACTCTAAATGCAAGTTGTTGCTTCAAGACTGGCCTGCGTCAGTCAACACCTGAACTAAGGATAGGGAGTGAAGTAGTCGAACGCGTTGACAACTTCACTTATCTTGGGAATCTGATCACCCCTAATGGGTTGGTGTCTGACGAAATTTCTGCACGATTCAAAAAGCTGGTTTGGCTTTTGCTAACTTGCGAAGGCGAGATATCCGTCTATCACTTAAGGGACGAGTATACTGCGCAGCAGTTCGTTCTGTTCTATACGGCTGCGAAACGTAGCCATTAAGAGTAGAAGATACTCGTAAGCTACTAGTATTTGGTCACAGATATGATCACCGGGTAAGTAATAGTAAGGTTAGACTCAGTGTATTAGGTAATTATGGTAGATCAGTTGATGAGGTTGTGAATTTACATCGACTGAGATGGTTGGATCACGTGTTACAAATGCCTGAACACCGATTACCACGACGTGTAATGCTGACTAGTGTCGGAAACGGATGGTAGAAAGTTAGGAGCGGCGAAACCAAAACGTGGCATCAGTCCTTGAAGTCACTAACTTCTGGTCTGAGCCATGTTGGTAAATGCAGACTACTTGGTTGGTGTCCGCGTGACTATCGTAACCAATGGTTGGTGACATGGCTCAGAATCTATCACAATGGCGTAGGTGTATACACTCTCTGTCTTCCCTTTAAACCGTGAGATTAAAATTGCTTTATATCTTCCTGTACTATATTATACAAAATGTTTCTTTTATATATTACTACCATTGAAGTACCTAGTTCTATAAATTTGGTGTTCATCTTGTTTTGCTAATGAGGTGTGGCAACTTGAACCGATGCGTATATGTGCCGAGTCTTATGTTGTAGCTAACTGACTGTATCATGATAATTCCATTGAATTATTTCCATGTCTTTAAATTTTCAATCAGCGTCCTTTCACCCGGCGGGCGAATTTTGTTTCGTGATTACGGTCAATATGATCATGCTCAATTGAGATTTGGTAGGGGATCTCGTTTATTTGCTGATCGACCATCTTACGTTAGACAAGATGGAACACTGTCTTACTTTTTTACAAAAGCCGAACTAACTGATTTATTCTCAAATGCTGGTTTGCTTGTACATCGCCTTCATTTTGTTCACAAAGAAACGAGAAACGCAGCTAAAGACCTGTGTGTGCAGCGTGTTTTTCTGCAGGCTGTTTGTGAGAGACCTGCTTCATAGTGAATTCGTGTGGAGATAATGGTACTTATGTGTATTAATTATTTTATCAGAAATTAATATCGTTTTGTATATACATCTTTTTGTAAATAAATAAGGATATTTTTTATTCTGGGATTCTCCTTTTTATTTAACAGCTTTATTTTCAGTACAATGTTCAAGTAATGTCGTTCCTTAGATACTTTGGAAATTATTTGCATTATTTCTAATGTGAGTCGATGTGAAATACGCATAGTTATAATACTCATTATTACTTAGCTTGAAGTTTTTTTAAGATTTACCTGCTAAATGGCTAGATGGATCCTCTTCAGAAAATTTTATCTTGACAAATCACTATCATTTAGTCTACATTCTTAAGTAGTTACCAAATCTAGTAGTTCAGTTGATATTATTATCTGTTCGGTCAATAGTTCTAAACAGATTGTGTACATCGTAAAGGTGTTACTTTTTGATGGTTATAAAATGCCGATTGTTTCTAGTGAACAGATTTTATTAGCTGAAACGAAAATACAAAAATCAGTAAGATAATTTTTGTAATACCAACATCTAACTGGTCACCGAAAAGTGCTCGAAGCGATTAAGATTATTACACTGGAGTCTTGAGTCGTTTGTGCTGTTTGACTGAAAGATTTCCCTGGGTAAACATCTCTTAATTCTGTAATTTAAAAAAAATATGGTGGTGCATTTATAAATAATAGTTTACTATCATGTCCTCATTAATATTTCTGATCACTGACTTCTCACCAATTAACTTTACGGTAGATTCCTTCAAGTGCAAAAAATAACTGACGTTTATGGAAGTAAGAATGAAGTATATAGGCTATCTGAACGTTAAACAGTATCAGTGTAACACATGATCTAAACAGAATTTTATCTTCGGAATACTAAATTTAGATTTTCAGAGAAAATCATTTCACACGGTATCTGCATGACATTTATTAACCCAACTGCTATCAAAATTAATTCTCATAGTGTACTAATTTTAATCATTTGACCGGAGTAGGTTATTCTAGTATTTCAAACTCACGTCGAGTTATTTTTCCATACATTATTGTAACCGCCAAGTTTCCAATTCAGATTGCTAAGAATCGCACAGTGTTTGTTATCAGTCGACACTCAATGTAGGAAACTGGCCAGTGAACTCGTGCCAGAGAAAGACGTATGGCGGAGTCTATGTATAGTTGTAACAAGAATTGTACATCTGAAGTATATTCTGGATGTGCTGAGTTACGTTCTTACCTATTCCATCGTTTTGTCTAACTGCACTCTTTTGCCATCATGCGTCTTACCAGGCTGTTTGTTCACATTTGGGGAAATATATATCCAAAGACAGTCCTCGAAACTTGCTGCTGTTAGCACTACGGTCTAGATTTCTTATGGGTTCAGCATTAAGTGGTTTGTTTACCTCCTGGCAAACAATCTAGAACTTCTTACGGGTGATTTTTTTCACAGTGTCTACGTGGTATTACCCAATCACTCGTTTCACTTCGCAAATTTCTGGACCAGTCGAAGAACGAATTATCACATGGCACTTCTTGAGGGAAATGTCTTTTGACTAATGTAACATCATTGTAACTGTTTATCTAAGTCAATCTTCTACGTTGTCGTGAGGCGACGAGTTTTGCTTATTTCCATTCATCAGATTTCTTTCCAGTGCAGGCCGTAGCTATGGGTGCTGCCCACATGGTGTCATACATTGTGTTTGAAAAAAAGATGGTCTAACAGTTCGCACCAATTCATTTGGGCGATATGCAGTTTTTCTTTGTGCTTCGGTACGTACCAATTTAGAAACGGCTGAACTCTCAGCAGCCAATACCACATGGAGACTAATTTGTCCATTCCGGTGTTACCGGTTGTTTGAATTCCCGCGTCAACGTCAATGGAGTGCTAGAAGGTTGGCAGAGTTCCTCGTTGAAAACTAGTTTTAGTTATCTATGTTTAGACTCATTATTCCTCATGGATCTCGGCGTCCAGCAAATAATTCGTAATGACGCAGTCTCATTAACCCAATTTCAAATGGCCTGGATTATCCCGTTGTTGATTTTTTAACTGAAATTTGGTCATTCTTGGTAGGTCCAGCTAACGAGTCCCAAGTAGGTTGAGACGTGCGTCCTGACTTCCAATGCTAACCATATCGACATCTATTCCGCATCGGTTTCACTAAGTTTTGGGAGGATATAGTAAGGTCAGTGTCCAGTTGTAGTTGGTGTTTGCACCAAAACCATGAACTTGATAACACTAGTCACTTGATAGTTTTAGTTTATTTCATGTGGACGGGTATCATATGACTAACTTACTCAGAGTTAGATCATCTAATTAGTCAACCCAGCTCGACCTGTCCTAGAAGCCAGGCTCTATTAATTTTTTGTACCATTAGGAAATAGAAAGCTTAGCTAAATAATGTTAGATTGTAGGTTTATGGTCTAATTGTGTAGTAATACAAACCATAGTCTACATTTACTCGTCCTGTTGTGACAATCACTAATATGACGTCTAACACTGCTGGATAACACATTTCGGCTAGCGAGGGAGTTGTATATTCAATACAAAGAGCAAGAGGTTACAGAGAGTGATCACTTCTGGATGGCCGGGCCATTTCACACCGAAAAATTGTTTTCGCGTTCACCATTTTAGACCTTTAAAGTGTTATATTTTGAATGTAAACCTCAGTAATTACATTTTTAACTTCAAGGATCGTGTGGTTAGGAACCAATACCACTACAATATATATCTCACAAAGAGTTTCGAATAATTACAGGGTTTAATCACTGTCTCATGGGTGGATTGGTCTGCTAATTCATCAATCTACCTTGGTCGTCGTTCATTTTTTATATTTGTAATCAAGCATCCAACGTCCTCTGATGAATCCGCGAAGATAGAGATGCGTTCATCACGATATGTAATTTCGCCAGAAATATGTCTTTTTACTCACCGCATAGTGACGATAATTGACGCATATTGAATTCGATGCATAATCCCGTTGAGTTGTCACTCATTCGAGGTCAATTAGTGATTAATAGGAATCGTTTATGTACTAGTTGTCTGGACGATGAGTTTGAAACGAAACCGAAAATACGTAAGAATTCTGAAAGTATTTGATATGTTGTCGGTATGCGAGAGAAATAATGCACAGGTTATAAGATTATTGAAGAGTGATTTGATATCAGTTTCAGTTTGGAAAGGATAGGAGGCTTGATGGCCTGTGTTAGTCCTGGCAATGGTGTTCTCTCAGTTGATCAAACTTTCTTTTGAAAGAATCTTCAGATGGAGCTTCAACCACGTGCTGAGGTAATGAATTCCACTCGTTGATGATTCGATCGTAAAGTCGATAATCAGCTGACAAGTAATTTGTTCTGGGCTTGTGAACTTTTTTGGAGTGCCCTCGTAAATTCTCTGTTTTGGAACACAAGAAAAATGAGGGCATATCAGGTGCAAATTTATCACTAAGCAATTTGAAAACTGTAATCAAGTCGCCTCTAGTTCTACGATATGACAAAGGGAATAGGTATAGCTTGGCCAGTCAAGCATCATACGGAAGCTTCGCTATTCCGGGAATCAACTTAGTTGCTGTTCTCTGGACCTTTTCCAAAAGCTCACTGTCTTTTTTAAGCAGGGGCTAGCCGCTTGTATGCAGTACTCATGTTTAGGACGTACGAAAACTGTATACAAAGTCAAAAACGTTTTAGCGTCGACAAGAGTAAAAGCCCTACGTATTGACCATAAAATTCTAAAAGCTAATAGGCGAGGAAGGTCATTTACATACAAGAGGAATAGCACTGGCCTCAAAACTGTACCCTGGGGCACTCCACTAAGCACATTTTACCAGCTAGATAACTTTGAGTTTACCCGTACTCTTTGTTGGAGCCCAACTATTAGGTCTTCTATCCATATCAATAGATTGCCTCCAATTCCGACATTTTTTAGCTTATATAACAGCCGGTTGTGCGGAACTTTGTCAAAAGCTTTGCTGAAATCAATGTAGGCTACGTATACATGTCACTTTTGGTCTTTAAGAGCGCACCAGCTTTCACAAGCGACTAATAAGTTAGTGAGACAAGAATAACCTATTCTGAAACCGTGCTGTTTCTCCGAGAGGATTCGGTTTACATTGAGGTATTTAAAGAGCTCTTTCCGAATAATCTTTTCTGAGATTTTAACAACCACACTACTGAAACAAGGCCATAAAAGTATTTTAACATATCATACAAACGTACATAATGTTGACAGCTGGTTACCAGTTTTAAATAAAAGTGGCTCAAAATCTTTGTATTTACACTAATAACTCACAGATGGAAAAAAATCAGTGCATTACAAACTTAAGTTGATAATAATAGTCAGTGGTTCAGAGTAGTAAGCCAGTAGACGCCTCTCATAATATCCCATCTTCATATATCGGGTTCCAGTTTCATCTGTATTAGTAGGCTAGCTAGTAGTTCACGGGCATAAACTTACTAAAAAACAATACTAACTAGTAGGCGATGAGTGAAATGTATATGATTATTAAAACGAGCATCAGTTGTAACCAATTCATCTGTAATATTGACGGGAACAGTTCGCAGGTTTGAGATAAACTGGATAATATTACCTTCAAAGACCTGAAGAACTTTTGACTGCTTAAAATGGCGTTCCCTGCAGAAGCTGGTGAGTCAGTTCAAACGACAGGATTGCGAGTTGTCTTGTAAATATTTGGCTAGAAAAGATAAGTGCCGAAAAAATCTGTTTGATAAGAGTAGCAACTTCTTTATTAGACAATTATACAAATCCATTCATTGACGAAGTTCTCATTTATGTTTTTAGCAATTGTATTAGTTACATTTCATGATTGTTTAGTCATAACAATTATATTTGACATTGACAATTCATTAGGAAAAACCATACATAATGTCCACTAGTCACTGGCGAGCAGAAAACATTGTACTAGTTTAGATGCTGAATACTAATGGAAAATTTGTCTACATCCATCATTTAAAAACGTTATCATGACAATTAAGAACATTTAGATT